ACATAGAAGATTTTCGGGATGCTGATGGGACTGTCTCGTGGCTGCAGCGCGGCAGGTATGTTTTCGCACGACCGCCGCACGTAGATTGTTTCTACACTATCATGCGCAAACGGTGCACATCCCTGGCGTGCAAGGTTCGGGACTGGGGTCAGTTCCAATGGCATCCTGAAGGCTTTTGCTGACAGGTTTGATTGTCAATATTTGAACCATTGTCAAATGTTGTCACATGCTGACAAATCGAGCCTGTCTTAGATAAGGTTTAGGTTTAAGTAGGTGAAGTGTGCTACTAACATTAGTTTATTGTGTGTATTTACTAACAAAATATGATCCTCGATAGTTGAAACAAATGATATTATTATATTTTTGATATTTGATATCCTAGGGACTTCACTATCTTCGCCCGAAGAACACTTGCCCGTGTCTAACAATATCCTAACCTAACTGTGTTACTCCAGTTCCTAGTCTGTCTGTGCTCTAAAGTTCATCCAAATCTGTCCAGACGTTTCAACGTAAAGAAGTAACAAACAGACACACAATATACAAATAGTAGGCCGACTTGTTAGAGATGAATTGTAATTACGGTTATATAGTTATAGCCCTGAAACGAGGTACTTAATTCGTGTGAATGTTTCGCGAAATCTTTACTAATTTTAAAATTTCATGATTATTTCCATACTAACTTAATATTATAAATGTGAAAGTGTGTATGTTTGTTTGTCCTTCTTTCACGTCGAAACAGAGTGACGGATCAGCGTGATTTTGTGTGTAGATAATTGGAAGACAGGAGAGTGACATAGGCTACTTTTTAACACGGGAAATTGTCTCATTGCCGCGGGAAAACACGTTATAATACAACCCAAAAAAATATTTTTGATCAGAATTTATTGAAACTTGGTATTAATGCTCTCCAATACAATTAAATAAATACTTACATTAGCATTTTTCGAACTAGTACTACTACGAACGAATAAGGGGGTAAAATAGCGGATGAAAAGTCTGTATGAAACTTACCTTTTTAGAGTTTTTTTGTAGTTTTAGCGCGAGCGAAGCCGCGAGTTATGCTAGTAATTAAGAAATATGTACATTCAAATATAATAATATATTATTTAGACAAATATAGTACAAATATTATAAGACGATATATACTTAAATTTTTGCTGAAAAATAATTATTAGCAATTACGTACAATTAAAGAAACACATCAGTAAAACTCGCGTCACTTGCCCTAACTTGTTAGATATAAAGTTATAGAGCTCTGAATATGAATATCTTATGAATGTAAATTGTAAACACACTTTGATCATGCACTTAGTCAAATCTTATTTTTGATATCAAAACCACTTATTCCTGTTTATAACTTTATGTCACATATATCTCACGTCACACAAAACACTATTTAGGCGAAAAGGGCTAGCCAATAAATGCCTTAAATATCGACATTGATATATTATATTATCGACGGTCGTCTTATCTATTTTTTTTATTACTTATCAATTTGTCATGCGACCAATGGTATTAATATAAACCGGTCGCGATCATTTTTTAGGCTAAGCTTCTAATCCATACTAATATTATAAAGAGGTAAATTTTGTGAGTTTGTGACGTTGTAGGGGGTAATCTCTGGATCTACTGAACAGATTTAGATGAAATTTGGTAACAAGATAGTTTGAGACCTTGAGAAGGACATAGGATACTTTTTATCCCGGAAATCATCCCTTAAGGGGGTGAAAATTTGTATGGGGAATCAAGCTAGGGGCGAACCCGAGCGAAGCGAAGGTGAGTCAGAGTTATCTATAATTTTGTTCGCCCGTGGTTAGAATATGTATTTCTACGCCGCGTCGGCGCGGTGGTTGCCGCTGCTGGCTTCATTCATAACTATTATTAAGAAAGATACAATTATTGTTCTTATGTTCATATTTCACGTACATATCTAGGTACTTTCGACAAATAGAAGCCATAAACTAAGTTGCGTTAATTATAATAACTATTAAACTGCTTTGATTTTTAAAGTTGTGTTTATGGTTTATGTTATTTACTTATTTCTATAAAATTTTCTTACAAGACATAAGAAAATTAAAATTAATAGTGTACGGTACAAAAAAGGAGTGAGTACTAAAAGGTAAAGGAGTACTTACGTACTAAAATATTACCTATAGAATTTGTATGATGCAATAATACTAAAGATACGAACATGTATATTGGAAACAAACGAAACTTTTAAAACATTTAAAAACGAAGAAATTACTCTTTATCAACACCAACAAACAACAGCACACCACACGTTTATAGCTTTTAAAACAATGCTAGCGAACAAACCAAAACACTAGGTATTGTTATTTGTTACAGCCATAATAAAATGACGATATCCGGGTCAAAATCGGGATTCATGTGTGAGTTCAAGCCTGAAGCCTCAAGAAGTTGTTTAGAATCCACTAGTAAAAGATTTTATTCAAATAAAATACCCTATTCCTATATATCATAATATAATAAGCTATACACTAAAAATGCTAATATTTATCTATTTTTACCTGGTGCACTTAAATCTTCTGTACGTCCGCGTAAATAAGTATATTGAAAATTTTAAACACTAATGCTTTCGCATTTTATTTTATTTATATTGATTAGGTATATTTATATAAACAAAAACTAAAAATAGTACATATTTTATCACACTAACTTTAAGTTCAAATTGGTATTACCTACTGTTACACATCGTATTACATGTTATATTTTAAAATGTTCCCACAATTTTTTTAAATATCTTCGGCCTTCGTGACTAATAACAGAATCATAACACTCACAGTTAACACTACACAGATAACTAAAAAAACTCAGACGAAATAAATCTACAGAGACAGACGTGAGACGGCATTTAAAATTTTTATTCTGTCTACGATTCGTTAATGTTGCCATACTCTAACCATTTTTTTAATGAATTTAGAAAATGTCTAACATAAAATAAAAAATATCAAAAACCTAACATTTCATTCTTTTGTATTTTTTATTTATTAACATTTATTTAATTATCGAAGTAATGATTTTTGCATTAATATTACTATGCCGATTTGAAATACTGTAAGAATTAAATTTAATTCGAATAAGTTATAAACATTAATATAACTATATTATTTAAAAAAACTGTAATTCAAAAGTAGTGTCTTAAATAAAATTAACTTTTTGGATGTCTTTTTCTGGATTTATTTTAGCTTTTGATTCCCAGCGTTCCGAATGCGTATTAGCCACAAAAAAAAGCCAAAAGACTAAGGTTTTAGAGATGTCAAAAGTTATTATATAGTTATTACAAACTTTCTTGTTGTTTTTAATAATAGTAAATTCAAAGTTACAAAATTTCATTTATAAAATTAACTTAGTCATATTGCTTTTTGTAGGGAAGTTATATCATTAAAGCCTGGTAACTCTGTTCATAATAAATATCTATAGTTAAAAAAGGAAACGGCACTGCGATTTTTTTATGTACAAAATTTTTTATCAATTGTTACACATTGTTAGTTTTAATTAATACCTTTGTTGTTTATTTCTTTTTGAAGTTATACTTTTTTTGGGACGTTTGGAAAAAACTATGAGATTAAAATTTTTACGTTAAGTTTAAGATTAAGTTAGCTGATAACTATTGTTGCTATGGTAACCACTGTTATTGTCTGGCAAATTATATTATATCCATACTAATATTATAAATGTTAAAGTGTGATTGCATGTTTGTTTGTCCTTCTTTCACTTTGGCTAAGTAATTAAAGCCTACCTATTAAATACATACCTAATCAAATATTTTCGAAATCGGTGCCAGCCCATACAAAGCAAAGCACACCGACTTCGAAAATATTTGATTAGATATGTATAGTAAATGAAAACTACCAATAAGTTATTTTTTACTTTTTAGTGCTTTTGTTTAAGTCGGTTTTTATTTTTTTGTTAAAAAGTTTTTATTTGAAGTGAAAAGTTTGTATGGGGAGTAAACTCATGTAAGTCGTCATCGACGTGGTCACGTGATCGCGCACTCAGAGTGCCGATAGATGTCAAAACCCGATAAATGTAAAAAACAGTTTTAATTTACAAATTGTAATTTAAGATACAACAAATAATTTTAATATCCAAAAATAACAACTGTTTGTTTATAGTTTTAGGTTTTCACTTCTGTTAGCAGTCGTCATGACTGCTTTTTTTAATACATATTTTCATATTATCTTTATTACAATAAAATCCGTTAGTTATTTTTATATATTTACTATTAATAAATTATTTAATAGTAAATTCATAGATTATAAAACTTATATTGTAACATCCCTTTAAAATATTTTTGTGGAGAAATTATACCGATATTCAAAAATGTTAAGTCGAGCGTTAACACACTACGGCCTGAAACCCGTTGTATCGAAATGTCCGTCTCTAGTGGTGGGACGTTATAAGGACTAATTAAATTATCCGACAGAGGACCCTGAGTTTAAAGTCTGCAGAACAGCTTGAGATTCCTTTACTTTGCCTCATTTTAAGAACGCAGATTCTATCTACAACTTTTATTGGTCGAGTACGAGTTACAGGTATCTAGCAACATATAACTTTTCAATAGATATAAATAGTTATTGCGAGTATAAGTACTTTCTAGAAAAACTTATGCTAATACAGATTTTTGGATGCCGAGCCCATGCTCTGTGAAAAACAAAAAAAAATCTATCCGTACACTTTCATTTAGTTCATTTTCCGGGATAAAAAGTAACCTATGTGATATTCAAGACTTTAATCTACATATCTCTGTGCCTTTCATGCAGATCCGTCCAGCCGTGATTGAGTAACAAACATCCATCCATGCAAACTTTTGCATTTATAATAGTAGTAAAATAGATAAGTATTTTCCGCGATGCTCAACTAGCTTATTAGGTATGCAAAATAAATACAATTTAAAAAAAAAATATTTATAAAAACAATTTTATAAAAGTACAGAAAAAATATTTATATTTTGTAACAAAAACTACCGGTCCCTATTACATATACTGAGAATTCATATTTTTTACTTTTAAAAGCTGTTTGAAAAGTTGATCCGGCGACATTTTTGATCTTGAATCCTGGCTCTCCATCGTATTTTCAAACGCTCTCAAAGGCTCATTTAACGGCATTTGTAAGAGCTTCCCTCCTTTTATCGATGCTGTAATTGAAAAAAAAAATATTTCACTACTGAAAGTAACTTTCGTATTTATTATTTATCGAACTAATCTTTACCTTTGTCTTCCATTTTATTACTTTCTTCACGTTGATTTGCAATAAATATTTTAAATAACTCTTTAGCGACATCTATATTCCCATTTCTTATTAAAGTCAGAACTCTTTTTCCTATGTTATAATTAATATCATTACTCATATCTTCATATTTCGATTCTTTTGAATTTATGTATAATTTAATACGATTTTCAATTAATTGGATAAGTATTTGATCTCTTGTTAGCTTTACATTATTATTTACCATTGATTTCGTATTTTTTAAAAGTTCTGGTACTTTTAGTTGTTCGTTCTTATTGCGATTTAAAATATTTACAGGCTCATTATTAACATTTTGTTTTGATTTTACTACATTTTGAAGCACTTTAATGCTCAAATTTATATTATTCTGAGCGTTATCTATAAATTCTTGTAATTCATTCAACTTATCCAAAGGTAAATTGTTTAGATTATTTGTAGATTTTCTTATATTTTCTAAAACTAATGCTTGTTGTTTTGTATCTGCTTCAAGTGTTTTAAGCAACATAAGTCTTTTGTGAGGAGGAATGACTGATAATAATGCAAAGTTTTTGTAGCTGTTCCCTGTCGACTCAATATTTTCGATCATATCTTTCAACTCTTGATATGTTTTTGGTTTTTCATAGGCTAATGTTCGACGAGTTTTCTTTTGAAAACTATTTATATTTTTTACCACTCTCTCCCATACTTTTGCTGATTGAGTTCTTTCTTCAGCTAAACCACTTCTACGTGTTGGTGAAGTAGACGTGAATTCTAATTTCATCGAGTCTATCAGCGTCTTAATTCTATCCAGAGGAGAAACGTTAGATTTTAACGGTAATGTTTTGTTGGCAATTAACTTGTCTGCGTTCAAAATATTATAAATACATGGCAATGCATCAGTTATGTTAATTTTATTTTGCTTAAAGTATGTATTATCATTTTGTAATTCAATTAAATCATCGATAATCGCTTTAAGATGGTTTTTGAGTTTTTCTTTAGTGTTATTTAATCTGTGTAAGCTATTATTAAGGAATGCGGCTTTAGTTGTTGTATCTAGCGAAGGTGCCTCTGTGTCTGCATCAATTGGAGTTCCACTACGTTCATCATTTTTTGTCAAGTTAAGTAAATCCATGAACGATTTTATTTTAAGAAATTCAGATAAATTATAATTAATATTTCCTCCTACATTATTTTTTGGTTGTGTCCTCAATTTAGGTATATTTTTATTTAACAAGCAGTGTGGATTATTTTCAATATGATTAAGATAATCTAATATTAGTTTATCTTTAATAGTTAAGTTATATTTACTTAAATCAACATTAAAATGTTCTCCAACGACCTTCATTTGGCTATCTTTACCACTGAATTGATTCAAATTCTTAATTTTACTTCTAATTTTTTTACTAGAATTATTTGGAATAAGCAATTTTGTTATTTTTTCTAGTAAATTGCCAAACAAATGTAATGATGAGTTTTCGTCAATAGTCAATGCATCTCCAGAATCTGATTCTTTCATAACAGCTTGATGTTTAAGGGCATTTAAACTTTTTTGAACTCGCTCGAATTTTTTTATAAGACTTAAAACATTATTCAATTTTTGAAGAACCTCGGTTGAAACGTTCATTTCTTTTATTTCATTTGTTGTATGCTGTTCCTTTTGGGTACATAATGAATTATTAATTTTGTTTACTTGATTATTATTATTTAAATTTTCGCCACTTGACATCTCGATAGCGATCGTTTCACACAGTGAAATGTTTTTAACATTTTTATTCTTATTTAACGTATTCGATAATTTGTCCAGGGCATTCTTTAAAAAAGTCTCTTGTCTTATATTTAAAGGTTCTTTAAATAATTCTAGCAAATCATTTATCTTCTCATGCTTAAGTACTTCTGTTTCAATAAAACCATTAGAAGTATCTTGCTCAATATCCCATAACTTATTAAGGAGGTTTCCAGCAATGAATGCCATTGCAGTCAATGTGTCATTTTCAAGTGTAAAAGTGATGTTGGACATAGGCTTGACATTTGCATTGCCTATAATTTCAGTTCCCCTTTTTAATTCATTTACAACAAGTTTTGATAAATCTGAATCTTTGATATTTTGCGTATAATTGCCTGTAAATTTATTTAACTTATCTTTTATTCGTGCGTCGATCTTTTCATTATGGCTTGCTATTTCTATTTTGTTTTCAGCTATGTGATGGTCATATTCTTCTGGCTGATTATATTCTATGTGGAGAGAAGATTTATTCTGATTATTTAATAAATCTGTTCTTCTAGATATTTTTGGTAAAATATTAGATTCAACTTTCATAGCTTGAATTGTTCCAGACTTATTAGAATTTTTCAGTGTGTCTGTAAAAGTAGTAAATAATTCCCCTATTATTAGGTAACATTCCATTTAAGAGATTTTACGATTCCTTAGGCCTACTAGTCTAAACGTAAGTTCTGGTCAAAATATAAAAATAGTTTTTTTCTTATATATCATGCTTAATATTTACGTAAAGTAAATTACGGCTTACTTTGAAAATAGTGCCAATAAATATTCGACTAAAACCTTACTGTCCAAGACTAGCAAAAATTGAAAATAAAAGTAAAAATATTGATATAAGTACATATAAGAGTACCTTCGTTTAATTCGTCTACTGTGTGATGGAATTTTATGGTATGATTTTTGGACTCATTATCTTCAGATTGATCACTTATTGATCGTTTTTGTCTTGACAAATATGTTGCAAAATCCTCCTGGTAAGGGTTAGGGCCTGAAACTAAATTTAGAGCATTAATATCTGTTTATTCATGTCAAATATAATATCGGAATACTTACGTAGGCACACTTTAGTTGAAACTTTTTTCTTTATTAGTTTGTGCATATTTATTAATATTGGAGTGCTCAGAAATGAAAAAGGTGCTTTTGTGCATAATTTATTACAAATAATTTAGAACTGTCTTTTAGGAATAGCGATTAAATAACCTGAAAATTATAAAAAAATAGTTCAAAGATAAACAAATTAGAATAAAAAAAATAGAATAAAATGAAAAAATAAAAAGATTGCTTGTTTTTAGAAATACCAATGAGATTGGTTTTTTTTACTCTTCCTTTTCAAACACATATTTGAGAATTAATTTTTTTTCTTATTCTTTAAAAAAAGAGATTACTCGCAGCATCTTATAGCTTCATTATTGAAGAAGATTATAGGCTATCTGACGCTACAATCTTTAGAAGTAGAACAAATACCAAGAATAATTGTAAGCGGATAAAATGCTGTAGGAGCTTTTACCTAAGAGCTCGTCTTCCGGCTTAGGTGGCGGAGGCACTAGAACACGTTGCTTCTTTTCATTTTTCTCTTTATTTTTTAATTCTACAAAAAAATAATGACTGTTTTGTGAAATTGTGACTATATATATATATATATATATATATATATATATATATATATATATATATATATATATATATATGTATTTAAGTCATTTATACCGATATAAAAATTATTAGTATACATAGTTTACTTATAAAGAGCTCTTTAAGTTAGGCATATGAGCGCGCTTGGAAAACCAAGCGCAGCGGGCTTAAGCGGGCACCTCTAATATTTTCATTTGCAAATCATTTTCTACATGATTATCATACGGTCAATACAAACATAGCATGGAAACTTGTATATCTGAGTGAACTTAACTAGTTTTCGAAAGGTATGAATGTGAAAGAGTGGATATGAAGTCAAACAAACAGTGCTTGGTCAGCGTGGTGGACTATGGCCTCATCTCACTTTTGACGGAGGCCTATGCCCAGCTGTGGGACATTAAGAAGAGCTGAAAGTATGAAATAAACTTACCAGAGTAAAGCACGTCGAGCGCAACACTAACAGATTCTGGGCTTGCAACCTCTTTATCATCAGTGGGACACTCAAATACTAACTGACAGTCCCACTCTCCTTCCGCTGAGCAGGTGCAGCGAGTGCAACCAGAGCAAGCGTTTGCTAAATATTGAAAAAAATTTACAATATAATAGAAAATTTATATTTTTAACCATTTTTATTTAGTTTTATCCTCCCAGACGTATCAGTATCATCGTAGCTTAACCAAAATGCAAAAAAATATATGAGGGCTTGAACAAGATTTCCTTGTACAATCGTTAAAGAATATTTAAAAAAAACATATGGGAATAACACGTTATAATTCTATGACATAACGATTGAATTTGTCATTCCTATTAATTTTTAAAATTCCTACTATTCGACTATTGTAAAATAAGATCTTGTCTACGCCCTGTGCTTAGAAAAATAAAGATTGATTATTGAATCCCTACTAAATATAATATTATCAACCAAATTAATTAAACTAGCTGTTGCCTGCGGTTTTGCTCGCATGATAAGCGCGATGAGGATGCAAGGTAGCCTATGTCCATCTCCGTCTTATATGCAAAATATCCTCGAATCTATTCAACGATTTGAAAGTTTTAACATAACAAATGGATAAACACAGTTCCTTTCATTATTTCACATTATGTGAGAATGTTAAAATAAAAAAGTGCCAAATTAAGCAAAGAATAAAAAAAATGATTCATATGATCTTACCGTCACTACAATCGGAATATTCTGAGACAAATGGTATACATTTATCATCTGTATCATCGCCCACTGAAAAAAAAAAATATTTTTTACAAAGACAACATTTCAAATAAAAATAATTTCAAATAAAAACAAAAGATATTGTTTATTTTTCTGAATACATTATCTATATTATAATTTTAGCGGCTCACCCTCGCTTCCCTCGGTTTCGCTTCTAGACAAACAACAAATCTGTCCTACGGAACCGTAAATTTTTCCGGGACAAAAGAAGCCTATTTGTTATTCTGATGTATGAACTATATTATTTTAAAGTTTCATTAAAATCCAATCAGTAGTTTTTGTGTAATCTGTATAAGTTACTATAGTTTTTTAACTATCCCACGGGAACTCTTTAATTTTCCGGGATGAAAAGTATCTAAAATGTTGACCGGGGATATAAGGTACCACCGTGCAAATATTTGTTTAAGTTGGTCCAACAGTTTCGGATATTAGCCCGTACAAACAAACAGAGAAAAAAAAAAGAAAAAATCTGGATTTATTCTATTTCTCTTTTCACATCCCCCTGACTCGGTTTTTAGAATTGTTTTTCTATGTACATATTTGATTTATGATCAACTAGTGACTTACCCTCGCTTCACTCGGATGCGTCTCTAGGTACCTAACAGTAGTCAATGTGTCACTCCAGGTCTATCTGTGTACTTAATTTCATCCAAATCAATCCAGCCGTATCTAAACGATGCAGTACCAAACATACACACATTCGCACACAAACTTTCGCATTTATTATTCATCTTTTGACTAACCATCAGTGGCACCATTTGGCAAATTTTATTACTAACAGTAGCCTATGTGCTAGGTACTTCAGGGTATACTTTATCTAAATTACATCCAAATCCGTCCAGCTGAAGACTAATAAACATACACACATGTACAATACTTTTGCATTTATAAAAGAATGTGACAAGTAATCAAATATCATTAAAAGCGGAATAAGCAAACAGACATACTTTCGCATGAATATGTTACGGTAATGTTTATGATAACATTACCGTGAATACGTCGTCCTTTCATAGATTACGTTTTGAATACGTACAGTCAGACATCGTATTTAGATCCTCACATAATAATTAATAATGCATATCTTACTGATACATGAATTAATAAATTTTCTAATCATTTCAAATTAATCGTCAAGAAATAACAAGTGCCCATGTGACAGACAGCAAGTGTACATATTTCGTGCAGGAAATGAAACTTCCGATAAAATTGACTTTCTACTATCGATATCGTTAATAGAAAATTTAAAAAAAAACTAATATGTCATGAGTCTATGACGAAATCCTTTCATATGTCGTTTTCATATAATATGTATAATTCACATTGATATAGAAAAACTCAAGATACACACTTATCGTCTCAAAACTGTCCTCAAAAAGAAGTACAGATTTCGAAATTGAATTGCGCTTTTTTTAAATCTATTTTATTCATTGCTTTTCGAATGACAAAATTAAAACACACGTTGTTTCATTCAAAAAAGTACTTTATGTTGTATGCGTAAGGTCGAATTTGTATTTAGATGATTAGGACTTTCGATTTTTGAATTTTATTTATTGGTTTGACTTAACGTCACATGTAGACGGCTCTTTTTGAAAAGATCTTTGTTAAGAAATATTTATCTGTGTATGTTTTTATATATCAATGATATTTCAGTTTGTATTAGCGATATCCATTGTAGAAAGTCAACTTGAACCTACTGCAATGGTAAATAACCAATAAATAACCAATCATTGCACAGGCATTAGATGCTGAATCACTCATTTTCCTGCACTCATAATACTTATGTATATATTAAAAAAGAAAAAGAAAGACGAAGAAAAAAATTGAAAAAATTGCGTAACAAAAATAGTGGTGGAATCAGTGCAGCCATACAACCATGAAAACTGTTTAAAAATTGTGCAAGAATATGTAAAAACGCAAAAACACACGTGAAGCTACCTACTACGTTACTAAGTGGCATAAAGAAAATAATTTCCCTATAAATTATACTATGGTAATAAAAAACATAGAATTCTTAAGAAATTCAATTATTTATTAAAGTCATTTAAAAGATTACAAAAGTACAAAGATCAAGTTTCACTCCACAACAACAACAAAATAAATCACTGACTTTTCTAATTAACAAAATAACTTACAAGTTCATAAAAAATTACATTCTTGACACTTGTATCGAAAATCTAAGGAGATTTGGAGAAATCACGATGTGAGACAATTTGTTTTCACACACAAATCATATTAAATTGAATCACATTTATATTCAAAAACAAAGATACTGCTAATATTTGAGAATTTGTCCCAATCTAGAATCCAAATAGCGACGTCTGACTTTTCATTTTAAACATTTCCAATTAATTATTTTCCGATTTGTAAATCCAATACCAATCAATCTCATACAAAGTACATCGCTATGTTTAATTCGTTTAACATTCATTATCTTAATCATTATTAACGATAAAGTCGACATAATCGCCTCTAGGGCTTCCAGCGAGGATATTCTCCTTGGGCACTTTTCTCCTCATCATCCGCATCCTGTTCCTGACCTGTTCATGCAAGTTCCGTCGGTGTCCGTCCGGGTGGTCGCAGCACAGTGCATCACCTCCTGCAACCAATTTTTTGCTTAGAAACTTTCTACACAAAATTATAATTTAAGTAATTAAAACAACTGTTTAGGTCCATTCAGGGCTTTTATTTGGCAATTAAATTGGTTGCAAGGTGCGATGTAAATGAAACACTACACTTTTTAGCTCATATAATTTGCTTTTACTGGAGCTTACGCGCGTTTTCTTAACATTTTAAAATAGGAAACGCTCAATAAAACAAGGAATAGGAAATTTCCATCCAGAAGAATCTTAAATTCCGCAAAAATATAGACGAAAAGGATGAGTTCTGGTTACAGTTATATTATTATTATAAAAAAAGAAATATCAATGTTTAACTAGGTTTTGTAACAAGTACTGCTTGAACCCATATAGCTAAAATTAATTGTTTTGTTACTTTAAATATACGAGTACCACTGTAGGACAAAATAGCATTAGACTTGTCAATAACGCATAAGAAACCCATAAAACAAAAACGTGCTGTGCAATAACTATAATTAACTCCGGCCGTACCAATATTCATGAACGTATTCATGCCATCATCCATCGTTCTTCTCAATCTGTACGACAAGTGCCTGAAATACGCTGGTCGATCTTGTTGGAAGAGTTTTTTATAACTTTCTCTCATAGCGTGGGGTTCCCTAATAATTCTATAATATTCACAAAACCACTGGTCTCTCGGGATGCATCCAGCATACGTGCCATCTACAGAACACACGCAGTAAAAGCAAATCTGCTTATTTGTGTAATCTAACAGAGACTCCACGTCGCTCGGGACGTCGATGTCGGTGTTGTTGGCGTTCATATCGTTGCTGTAGTAGCTTACGGCTCGCCTGCATCTGGCTTTGGATGCGTACGGTATTTCGTCGTAATGCCAGATATAATCTACGATAAAGCAAGTAGTCTAATAAATTTCAACGGACAGATTGTATGCTGTTATATTTTTACTTAAGCGATCTACTTAAAATGCTACCATATTCTTTAGAAAATTTGTGTTGTTTAAAATATACATCTTATTTTATTGTTGCGAAAAAATGAAAATATCCACGTGAAAATAACCACATAATATAGAAATAGCAGAACAGTATTATGAAACTTAAGATAAAAGTAAAATTAGTAGGTAAAGTATTATATTATAATATATATTTTAACTATTATAGAATTCGTAATAAATAATAATTTCTAGCTAAACAGTTGGCCTCTACAGCTGCACCGATCCCCACACCCACCAACCTCGCCTAATCCTAAACGACAACGCCCTTTCATGAGAGAAGGGCAAATTCTTTTCTATATTCTTCTTTAAAATTGCGATTCTAATGCACTCGTTCACATTCCTGGCTGGTCTCCGGCTACAATATTCCTCTTTTCCTTCCACAGAGCACACGCAAATCTGACAGTATTCATCTTTAGTGGCATCATTCATGTGGGTCCTTCTGGTCTCTTCTTCAGAGGCTAATTTTTTTGGTGGTTTTAGCTCCTCAATTCTTATAACAGTTTGTCCAGGAATGCATTTTAAACCACGCTCCTCATATTCTTGATCCGTGGGCGGCAGAGAATTGTAAAAGAACGCTAAAAATTGTTTGAAGAGCTACTAACTTTTCAATTAATACTATTATTGTCTCGTCCCCCCTTTCACTCGTATATTTGAGTGAGACGTACAAATATGTTAGGAGAACTTTTTAATTGGCACGTGTACCTAAGTACTAAATTTTGTCGCGATTGGTTCAGGCGCTGACGCATAAAGATGTTACAAACAAACATTTATTTTCGCTGTTATTCAAATAATTATATATGTAGCCATCTTGTTGATTTATTATATTTCAATTATATAGAAAAATCACCTTTACATTTTTATATACATTCATTATTATTAATATTTGGATCTTTTTATCTGTCGATACAGTATTACAGGTATTCATTTATTCAATACTGATACAGGTATTATTGATCTATTTAATTAATATACATAAAAGTACTATCTTATCAACATAAAAATTATTTTGTCTTAAAAAAGTTCTATGAAAAACAGTTATTCTCACCCCCTTTCACCAACTCGAAGGTCAGGACCACGGAGACCAGCAACACTATCCTCAAGTCCATGTTATAAGTCGACTGCTTGTGTTGATGATGCGGAACGCTTATATGACGTTCAGCTTGAATTGTTTTATTGATACCTTGTTATAGTGCAGGGACGGAGTTGAAAATATTGTTTTTTAATAATCTTTACAAGATATTATGAGATTTTACCAATGTGTCTTTCAGATTTTAAAGTCTTAGTTAATATGACTTCGCTTTATCAACCGCGGATCCGATAGTAATAGGGATCATGAAAAATCATCAAAAATCTGTAAAATACGCCCGCTGTCCAGCTGCCCCCGAGAAATTGCTTTAAAAAGTTGCTTTCAATTTCTGGCTTGCTGTGACATCCTATCGAAAAATATTCTTTACAAAAGTTGCAGGTCTAGTAAAAATCTACGACTTTTATAGATGACACTTTTTAAAATAACCTCAAAGTTTTCGAGATACTTCCAAAAAAACCGTTTTAGATTTTTTTCTTGGTTTTTATTTTTAATTTGTGCAATATTTTTTTGATTTTCATGACACTAGGGAAATATAATAATGATAATTCAGTGATAATAATTCAATTCAATTCATAAAAGTATGTAATTTTTCATCAATGTTTTCTTATGACGTTATCACGTAAAATTATCGTCGGTAAACCGACTTTACAAAGAACCATTTTTTTTTTAGTTTTTTATGTTTATATGCGAAACATGTTGTCGTTATGTCGTTCTGTTTATATGTTTTTTGAAATCTATTCCATAGCTATTATCTATACCTATTATGCAAGTGAGAATTAAAATCGACATCTACTTGCGATAATAAAATATTATGACTAACTATTTTTTCAGAGTATAAGAAAAGTTTGTAATCCGTACCTGGTTTTAATGAATGAATGCCATTTCAATGCGAATTTTCCAACAAGAATAAAACCTAGAGGCCCTTATCGCTTACACCTGCCGACCACCTGGATACTACGTACGATCTTGTAATTTTATAAAATGTGTCTATTACATAATAAGTATAAGATATGATATCAATCTATGTATACTACTGTTTGAGACTAAAATCTATACCTACTCTTCTTTTATACATATAATAAAAATGTAACGAATCGCTGTCTGTACATGGAAGATATATGATAAAAAATATTATTGGGACCTTTATCAACGCAAATAGCACCCAAACAATGATTGTTAGAATTTTTGTATATTTGTCTGTGTGTTTGTGCACGCTAGTCTCAGAAACGGCTTATCCAATTTAGATGTGGTTTTCACTAATATATCGTGGAAAGCTTCACTTAAGATTTACAGTTTGTTTCATGTGAATCAGTACATAAATAAAAAAGTTATGTCAATTTAAAGAATCACGTCGAACATTTGTTAAACTGTCTATATCTATCTATTCTTTCTCTGTCCAGTATATATTCTTACGGTAGCGTCACAATAGGTATATACTGTGTAATATATTACTCAGCCGTAAGAATTTAAATAATTATGTAAAAAACTGTAATAGACACACAATAAACACTAGGAATAGAAATAAGCTTGTTACGCCTAGATTTCGTCTCAAGAAGGTGAATAAATCCTTCATGGGCATTCATAAGTTTCCACAAAATGTCCTAGATTTACCTTTTCAAAAATTTAAAGATAATATTAAAAATATTATATTGAGCAAAGCGTATTATACTGTTCAAGAGTTTCTTGTTAATGAAAATGTGTGGAATTGAGTGATACTGACATATGCAGGCTACCTATAAAGGTTAATAAAATAAATGTAACCTCTATATTTAACTGACATTATACTGAACTGACTACGCTGATTAAATTCTAATTTAAAATGTAAAATAGACGATTCAAAAGAGCGTGTAAAAGTCTATTTTAATAAAGTATAATTTGATTTGATTTATCCTTCTTTTACGTCAAACAGGGTGACGGTTCGGCATTTTTCGTGTGGAGGTAGTTGGAGAGCTGGAGATAATGTCGCGCGGTAAGTATCCTATGTTACTCTACGAAAAATCACGTCAATTAATCACTCTGTTCCGACGTGAAAGACGGACAAAAGAACACTTTCACATTTATAATATTATATAAGTATTGATATAATTTTAGGATTATCAATGATAAGACCTTTTTCAAAAATATATTTATTCACATTAAAAAACCTTAAAACTAATCAACAGTATTTGGTGATAAAATAACTAATACCTACAATGTTAATGTCAAAATTTAAAACTAAAAAACTTATATTTAATAAACTTAAGATTACATTGTTTTATAAAAAAATATCTTAATCTTCAATTAATCAATATGGAAAAAAACATAAACGTTTACTTTCCATACAAAAACAATTTTATCCATATATTGTTTAAGAAATCATTGCACAAAGTTTCATTATTTTTTAGTTTATTTGATAAATATTTAATATTCTCCCATGTATTTATCATTTCTCTTGGCTTAAAGCTGTGTATAGAAGCGACGCTCCAGTACACACAGTTCAGATTGAACCATACATTTGACAAACCTAGTCTATGGTCGTGGTACAAAGTTAAGTTTAACTGCTGTTTAGACACTAAATAAGTAAAATATACGTCTTCTAAATTAATCATCGGCACTTCGTAGGCGGTTGTCAGAATAGCCTTTATATGTTTACCTAGAAAAAAAACACTAATGAACATTACTCAGATGTGTTTGTATGTTGATTTATCTTCTGAATCGATTTTAAATTAAAAGAAACCTTCTTATGTGTTTTAAAATGTTTATGCTCCGCCTTATACATATTAAGGCATAATAATGTCCTTCTAACCGATTTCAATCAGCGCGTCCAATCTTACTGTGCTAAACTAGACAATGCATTAAAATTATAGACATGCGTAGGTCCGGATTGCCGATTGAAATAGTTTCCGGAATGTCCTAGGCCGGAACGATATCGTTCCAATCCGCGATGTCAATTGAAACAGGTTCACAGTTCCATATAGTTCCACATGTGCAGGAGTGAGATGGAGCGAATAAACGAATATATTGGACCGATCACCGAAGCGACTGACTGAACTGAACGTAACCGACTCCTGCCGAACCTACCCGAGCTATAGCTATATATTAAATTTTAAGGTGCTTCCTCACAAGCGTTAATTTTTTTTAGTAAACATCTGTTAAGCCGCGTCCACATGCTGGGCGCTTGCCACAAGCACCGAGAATCATAAACACGTGCCAAACACCGAACACAAACTAAATACATTAAATAAATAAATTAAAATAAAAAAGCCTTTCATTTCTTGCGCTTACTAAAATTGCTATTAAAACAATTTAAGAAAGTAAGTATTTATTAATTATTAATAAAATCCTTTCATATTCAGTTATATTATAATAATAGTATTAGATCTAATGTTATATTAATTATTATGTATATAAAGAATGTTTATTAATTTAAACTTTTTTCTTAATTTTTACACTATCTAATATGAATTAGAATTTATAATTAATAAAAATAGTAACAATAAATAATTAAAAATTAAATCAATGTATATAATAAAATAATTCATAAGTTAAACAATCATTTACAATATTTTTATTTATTTGAAGTAGTTTTTTTTAAGTTTTTATTTTCCATTTTTAGTGTAGATATAGTAGATACCTAGTACCAAAGTAAGAAGAGGTCAAACAATAAAAAAAAATATTTATACGTGTCGAATTGAGAACCTTCTCCTTTTTTTCGTGGGTTTAAAATTATTTCATGTTAAAAAATGTTAGGTATGTGATGTTATCTGCTGCACTGCTGTGTGGAAGCGCCATTATATCGCGTAGGTAAAAAAAGTAAACTACTGTAGTGACTAGTGCGTGTGCGAGTATTCGCAATATAATGTCATCTCTTACTGTGCTATTACAATTAATAATGTGCCTACTTCACTGTGCGTTAAAGTCGATAATTCATTGATTAAATCTGATTTTCGTTTTGAACTTTTAAAACATTAATAATATATTTTTAAATTTTAATATTCTTTATTCACTTTTGACACAATATTTTTGTACTTTGTTGCGTTCGTCTAGATTCACATTGCGCGCGAAAGCACCATAATAGTTTTTTGAAGTTGGTTTAATTTTTTTTAAAACCTTTTTTATTTCGTAATTTTTAGTTTTAATTAAAAATGAAATAGTTTTTGTAAAAAGTACTAATTACAAAAAATACACTTTTTATCCATATATTCAAAACCACTAAACCAATTTTGATGAAATTCTTACTATTCCCTAAGTTAAAATAATTGTAAGCAAATAAAAAAGCATCATCACGTCGGTCGGAACAGTAGTTTCAGCGAAATGCGTGGACAAACATACATACACACAAGCAAACAAACATACATACATACATACATATATACATCTATACACCTATAAAATTTTGTATATTTGCTTCGAAGCCCTAATATATTTTTTAATTGGACTGGTATTTCCGAAGATTAGCGCAATTATTATTAGCATAAACGAACAAACAAGACAATAAGTTGGTAACTTCAAGAAGGTTGAAAAAATAGGATGATCGTCTTAAAACCGCAGACGCATATATGCGTTCGAAGTTCGATTTTTTAATTAATTTTTGCCCATGACTCCACTCGTGTAGTACTACACACGCCATTAAAGTAATATTTGTTAATCTGGATACGTAAGCGATCTCCATTGAAAATTTAATTAAAAACAATTGAAGAATTACAACATATAGAAGTAAACGAACGCACTGACAAACTTTCGTATTTATATTAAGGTAGTGTGATATTCGTTAACATCATTATCTTTTTAACAGCGACAGCGTTCGCGGTGTCGTGTATGACGGCGCAGGCGGCGGCGCTGGCGCCGAGCGCGGCGCGCGGCGCGGCGCTGGGCACGCTGCGCTCGCTGGGCGCGCTCGCCCGCGCCGCCGGCCCGCTGCTCGCCTCCACTGGTAACACTCGCTTTGGTCACTATAACGGCTTGGAATTCATTTTAAATAAAACTATCTTTTCAGATTATGTTGCGGATTTATTTTGATTTTTGGTTCCCGACGTTTCGAATACTTTACAGCGATCATGGTCACGGGGGAGACTAAGGTTGTAGACGTCTCGTAGGCATTATATACTTGTTACAGACAGTGCACCCACTATTTTCATTTAATGTAAATTAAGGATGAATAACTCTTAAAATATAAACAACATTTTCTATGAACTCGAAGTGCAAGTCTATTATCTATTTAATTTATTGTCCCTTTATTTTTTACTAGCGGTTTTTGCTTTTAAAAATAAAAGCAAAACTATCCCACGAGAACCGTACATTTTTTCGAGATAAAATGTACCCCCCTATGTGCTATTACAGACTACAATCTATTATCTTTTATTTACTTTCAATCAATAATAAATCGGTACATATAACGCCATCTGTTGCCATTTATTGGAATTATTTATCTTTATTCTTGTTGAGACCTACATTGAGTTTCTAACTCATCAATTTTTATTTAATTAATTATTAAAATATTACAATTTTCAGTGTACTGGTGTTCGGGCGCGGCTACAACATATACAATTGGTTCAATCATATTAATACTGCCAGCTTTTATGCTATTCCGACTGAAACACAAAATGAACAAATAACTGTGTCATAAAAGTTTTTAAATAAAAGCAATAATACCATCATTTATACATGAACTAGATGTAAGATATATTTAATATTTATTGTACACATTTTTTTTACATTTTTTGTGATTTTTTGCTATGCTTTTACACAGTTTAATTTATCTCGAATAAACAGTATTAAAATAAATATTTTATTTCAATTCAAATGTTTTATTAAATAAAAATACCTTTTCGCTGTATTATGTATAGATGCATTTACAACAACCAAATTTAGCATTGATTATTATATTCAATGTAATAATTATAAAACACTAGCGGCTCACCCTCGCTTCGCTCGGGTTCATCGCTAGGTACATTTTAAATAGATATAAATAGTTATTAGCCAGCGTTAGCCATATAAATTATAATTTTTTTTTGTTAATAATATTGACAAATATTGACATTAATATTAATACGTATGGTATTAAAGTTCAAATTGACTTTTAAGTATTATACTAATCTTTTATATGGGAGTATAGAAAAGTGTTGTTTTTAGACTTTTTCAAGCAATTGTTTAAATTTTTCTCTCCGTAAGAACCATTCTCGTACTTCAAGGAATATTCTAAAAAAAGAATTAGCGAAATCGGTTCAGCTACTCGTGATTTGCGCTTACCAACACATTCAGCGATGCATTTTTATATTATAGATTAAGTGTGAATTGGATAGTTTTCCTTGGGTGTCTGAAATTATTCTGTTATATTCAATCGTGTATCTGTACCTTTACATCATCCACTTATATAAAACTTTGTTATGTCAATAAAGTTGCCATGGCGACGGTATTTTTGTCAACAAATATACCGTATGCCGAACCATTGTTAGAAAATAATAAGTAATATTATAGTTAGTGTTTATTTAAGCAAAATGCCCTTATTCAGCAATAAATTCACCCCAAAAACGATTCCCGTAAGAAAACATGATACTTCTGTTATAAAAAACGAGTTGGGTAGTGATTATGCATCAAGAGAATTATCCATAGATATTGCACCTCTCAAGTTGAAATTAGGTGATATTGAATTATCTTTTGAGGAAGGACAATGGATGCCGGGTTAGTACTTTAAGTTGTATGCGTTATGTTTAACAGCTATTTTTTTTTAGTAATAAAAACTGTTTTTATTACTATAAAAAATATGGTGAATTCGGTGTTTTGTTCATGGCTAATAATTAAACTCGAATTTAAAATATTGATAATGTTTACTTTTTCAAATAGCATCAGGTAGGGCTGGCGCCGCACATAAAGAAAATGTACGCCTCAAAAATGAATTAGAACAACTCGAGGAAGAAAATAATATGTTGCGTTTAAAATTTGAAATTTTACTAGACATGATGACAGATAAAACGGTTGAAGCTGAACAGCAGGAAATGCAAAGAGCCCAAAGTTTAGGCTCTTTAAAATCAAAGACGAAAAAACAGAAATAATTTTATTTATAAACTTCCATAATACTATTGTAGTGAATATTCATTATATAAAGATATTTTTACTATCATATTATGTACATTATATTGTTAAGTATAAAAATTTAATTACATTACATTTTGCCATTGAGTACCGTATATTGTTATTCAACGATATAAAAATAGTTTAAAAAATGCTTCTTTTATACAATTATCTTGTTAGCACTTTCTGTAAAAAACATTAGAAAAAGCTAAAATTAAAATAAGTTTCTTTTCGAACTTAGTCGCGATTTTATACTTATTGTTAAGGAAGAGCCTAAAGTTTTTATTATCACAAAGATTATTACATAATATCAAGTATGTAGTCTGTAATAGACGTCGGGAACAAAAACTGAAACAAAAACGTGATAAAATTCGAAAAGATTCATTCATTGTTTGGGCAGTTGTTTCTAAAGTGCCCCGGCTGATGGCACGCGCTGCACTTGCGTGCCCCGCGGGTACCGGACCCGCTGCCACTTGAGGCCCGACCTCTGCCCCTGCCTCTGTTATTTGCTAACTGTTCTCCTGTATAGAAATATATTGAATGAATTAAATTATGTTATTATAAACATTTTAATTACCTGTATTAGTTACTTATTAATATAAGATGTTCTTCTATAATAATAATTATGATATATCAATTAGCATATTTTAATAATTAATTTTCTTTACAATTATCTAATATACAATATATATGTTTAAATACATAGCAACATATTATATGTATGGCAGAGATAATTTAAAATTAATAAAAAATAATTATTTTCTTCTTTTAACTTATTGTAAAGGACCTGAATTTGTAGTTTCGTCAGCCCATTGGAAGAAATTGCAACGACGATTTTCTTTAGAACAACAGTAGAATAGACGGCCTTTGTTTGGTCCCTCTTTTTGCACTGTCTTTCTGTAACAAATTATAATAAATTTAAACTACATAAATGCAAAATTCATCTACACATTCACCTTTAAACATTGATATACAAAAACAAAATAAGCTAGCATCTCAAAAGTGTGCCCTCAAAAAAAATAGAAATAAGTTGGGCTTATTTCAAATCTCCTTTAATTGCTTTTTGGATCATAAAATTAAAACGCACGTTTTCATTTAAAAATAGTACTTTATGTGGTGTGCGCAAGTTCGATTTTGACAATTAGATCCAGTTTTGAATTTTATTCTTTTTTAGATTTTACATCACAAGTCGACGCTACTTCAAAAAGTGAATAAATGAGAAGTGAAGAAAATATTTGTTAGGAAATTATTAAAACATAGACATGTTTTAATACATTAATGCCTTTAAAGTAATCTTTGTATTAAAAAAAAATTGAACATACTTTGAAAATAGGTGAATAGCAGTCTATTGCAATTTAATTAAAAAAATCCCATGCAATTTAATTAAAAAAATCCCATGCAATTTCTTTTAAAAAAATCCTTAATGTCATTAAATGGACTATCAATCTTACTTGACACTGGCCCAGCCGCAGTTGCACTCCACTTCTACCCCTCGCGTAGAGAAAGTAAAACTCCTTCCAACACTATCTCCGCTTGAACTTGATGGTGTTTCATTGGTGTTTTGTAACGAATCCACTGGGGGACCCCATTGGAAAAAGTCACACACATTCGCTTGACATTTATAGAACTTTCTTCCTAAAATACAATTTGTTTAATTTATTTAAATAAGAAGAAAAAATGATGTTTCTGATATTTAATTTACAGAATTCATTTTATATATTCCAATTTTTATGTATAAATAATGGTTTATATCATAAGACGCTCTATCAAACAAATATAACAAACACACAAACAAAACTTTGGCAAAAATAATAGTAGTCCTATATAAAGTTTAAGAATATGAATAAAACAAAACATTACCAAATAATCATACCAATAATGAAGATTTATAAAATAAACTAGTGACTCACCCTCGCTCGGGTTCGTCCCTATTTACGGTTTAATGGTTACTATAGAACAGATAGACTGTATATTACATGATATATAGCCTTATAACCTTCCTCAATAAGCGGGCTATCTAATGCAAAAAGATTTTTCCATATCAGATTAGCACTTCCAAAGATTAGTGCATTCAAAAACAAACAAACTCTTTATAATATTAGTATAGATAATATCTCTTACAGTGATTTTAAAAGAAAAAATGAAAAGTTACCAGCATTTTCGTTCTGCTTCCTAGATGTGTACTGTGCTGCGGGCTGCCCACATTTGCACATAATTGTGTTATCCCCTACATTGAGAGCTGTTGCGTTGCGAGTTGAGTTCCCTGTACTTGCATCACTAACAAAACCGGAAGAGTCTGTGCTGTCATTGCGTATTATTCGGTTATTTGTTCTTTCATTGGTGTGAGAGTTTGTTCTGGTATATGGTGGGTTGTTTGTACGAGGGTTCATCGGTGGGTTTGTATGTGGGTTCATCGGAAGGTTTGCACGAGGGTTCATCGGAGGGCTCGACGAAGGGTTTGTTGAAGGGTTCATGTGAGGGTTCACAGATGTCCGGTGTACACCGAGTACATCGTTGAGCGTCGAGTCGCAGCCGCCGATGCAGCCGGTGTAAGGAGGCGGGTATAAATGACTTATCGAGTTGTTACTCCATTCGAACTTCAGATTCTTGTTGTTTGGACCACACTGAAAGTGAGTTGTTTATTAGAAACTTTAATTTATCTATAAAAAAAATGGCGTTTCTTATGGATTTGCATATTTAATTCGATTTTTACAAGAAGATTCATTATATTTATTTTGGTGAAGTTTATAAAAATATTTATTTTTAAATATTTGTCGAGCTTACTTTCCTTTTTCAATGCGTTATTGGATTATTACGATTTCGATATAAATTAAAAAGCTTCAACTGAACAATATTATATTATAAAATAAAATTACCAACCACTGCACACGAGTTTGGTAACACTTCAATATTTTTTACAATTGAATTTAACCAGAAGGCTTTCTTGCACTGTGGGTACGACACGCAGCCAATGTAGAGTTCATTTTCGTTACTCTTCTTTCGCCTCAAATACATATCTGATCTACACATTGGACATTTTGTTACTGAAAACAAGATAAATTTTTATTATTTTCTTTAAATTCTTTTGACGACACGTTTGGCTCAGTTTGTAGTGACCCTACTTGCTGTGCCAGCGGTCGCGGGTTCGAGTCCCGCTGGGGGCATTCATTTGTGTGATGAACACGAATGTTTGTACTCCAGTCATAGGTGTTTATATTTATAATATGTATGTATTTAAAGTTATATGTGTGTAGTGTATCAACTATCTTTTTTTTTAACGTTGGGAAATGCTTTTACGCACGAGGCGTGGGACTCACCGGCGAAGCCAGCACTACCCACTAAAACCCAACAACTACAACACTCTGCTATCAAAGAAGTACCAGGAGCAACCCGCATGGTACACCGCCCTCCGAAGAGGGCCGCCTCCCACCGCCCACTGAGGCGGGCCAACTCCCAGTGCGCTTCTTGGCTTCGCGCCCGGCTGTATTGTCGGGCACTACTGAGCCCCCCCACCACGACAAGGTGAACGCACGTTGGGGGGAGTGTATCAACTATCTGGTATACATAACACAAGCCTCGTAGCTTACCATGGAACTAGATGATGCTGTGTGTTAATGTCCCAACATATTTATTTACATATAAAAACATTGATACCTACCTTCAAAAAGTGGCGTCGTAATATGACGTTAAATCAAACAAAAGAATAAAATAAAAAAGGCGAATGTTCAAATTGTCTAAACACAAATTAGAACTTACGCAAACCACATAAACTACTTCTTTAAATGAAACAACGTGCTTTTTAATTTTGTCATCCGAAAAGCAAGGAACAAAAGAGATTTGAATAAAAGCGCATAATTTCGTATTGTGCGCTTCTTTTTGAAGACACTTTTGAGATGCTAATTGCGTATCTTGAGTTTTTGTATAACAATGAACACAGGTTTGCTGAATATTTGATGTTTTTATATTGCTTTAGACATGAGATTACATGACTCATTCAAGTTGTATTAGACATTAAAACGTACAAAAAAATATTAGGTGCCAAGTATAATGGGATTCTGTTACTAGATATTTAGCGATTCACGTTTATAATAAAATATCTTTAGATATTTAACTAAGTAAAAATTGATAACATTAAATACAGATAAAGAAATCTAAAAACCGAAATTATCTTAAGTGTCTTTATATAGAGTATCCCCTTGAAGTAAATTTATGCATATGTAGATAAATAAAATTGAAGTGTCTGTTTGTAATGTCAAAATAACAGTTTTTTACTTAATGCATATGAAATTATATACAGTATTTATAAGAAAAACACAATTTTTAAAAATTTTGTCTGTCTGTCTATTCCGGCAAATCTCCGAAACGTCTGGACTAATTTTGATGGGATTTTCACTGGTAGATAGCTGATATTATAAGAAGTTACTTAGGCTACTTTTAGTTTAGAAAAACAATTAATATAAATACTTGGGGACGCACCCGAGCGAATCTAGGGTAAATCGCGAGTTAAAACCATATAAATATCATATTGTAACCCCATTCCAATTTGATTATATGCACAAATATATAAAGATATTATATATCTATATATATATATATATATATATATATATATATATATATATATATATATATATAGAATAAATAAGAAATAGAATAAGAATTAAAATTTTAAATCTCACTATATATTTTGTTTTCATTAAAAGCTTGTCATGCATCTTTACCTGGAGTGGAACTGCGGAAAGTGTTGTTAGCAGTAGGCGTGTATGCTGCAGGAGTTACGTTCAATGTTTGAGCCAGAGCATCGTCCAGTTGTTCCGCCTCAGCTTGCAGTTTCATGTACTTATTCTTATAAATATCTATCTGAAAATATTAAAACGAATTTTGTTACTGAGTTCAAAATTTATAAATAATCAGAAGAACCCGCGGCTTCGCTCGCGCTAAAACTACAAAAAAAAAACTCTGAAAAGGTAGTTTCATACAAACTTTCATCCCCTATTTTACCCCCTTATACGATGAGTTTCGAAAAATGCTAAAACACGTATTTATTTAATTTTATTGAATAGCAATAATACCCAGTTTCAAATAATTATGATCATAATTTTTTTTTTGAACTGTATTATAACCTGTATTCCCGTGGGAATTAGATAATTTCCCGTGGTAATCTTAGACTACTTTTATTTAAAAAAATAAATAGAGTTCCGCGCAAAAATTGAAACTATTTTTATCAGTTTAAAGCTTATCTAGGGAAGTCACTAGTAATTATTATTAGTGTAGAATGTAGAAAGATAGTTAAATGTTTATAATCACGAATATAATAGTCCAGGAGGAATCGACGCATGAGTACCGAAAACTATTTCACCTCAATTTTTTTATGCGATCCTCTTCAAATTGCCCTACTGATGATATAAATGCATTTTGCCATGGGGCAACCCCGTGTCATATTGTTTAAGTTTAAACAATTGCAAGGAATTGTTATTTTTTTGCCGGACATTTTTTTTTATATTCTTTATTGAAATACAAATAAAAAAGGTCCTATGACTTTTCGCGATAAGGTTAATATTTTTAGTTATTAATTTTTAAAGGTTTGAAAAATCTCAAATTTGGGTACTTTTGACCCATGAAAAATATATAAAAAAAATGTATAAATAATATATTTTTTTTTAATTCTTTATACAATAGTTAATAATATTCTTAATAGAGATTTAAGAAAATTTCATTGTTTAAACCTGTTTTTTAATTGATAATTTCGCGCGCTCACAAGTATGCGTCACTTACCTTTAAGTATCGCTGTCTCTATATCTATCATCGACCAGTCTCATACTTTTCAATATGAAGAATATTTTTTTGCCTGACACACAGTGGACAGATTCCTTTCATAGACCAGGGTCGATAATTTTTAAAACCAAAAAAAATAATAGTAGGATGAAACCCATTAGAAAAGGAGGGGAATATTATAAAAATGAAAGGAAAAATAATTTACGGGCGATCTGAGGTCGGGAAGGGGATGGGGGTGAGTTTTTAAGGGTAAAAAACGGTTTTTCTCGATTTCCGGCAAAACTAAAAGTCCTATCGAAAAAAGTCAAATGGCAAAGTTGTAGGTAATAAAAAGATCTAAAACTTTTGTATTTACACTTTTTTCACATAACCTCAAAATTTATGTGAAAAATTCAAAAAACCAAGTTTTTGGTTTTTTATTTTTATCTTTTACAAAAAAAAATTTTTTTTAACGAAATTTGGTGAAAACTTGCCTTTTTATGTCCCAAATACGCTGTAATTTATTTGATTAAAAATATTTATTTTTTCACCTTATTTTGAATTAATATCGAAAAAGCACCCTAATTTTCAATCGAAAATTCACCCGTCAAAATATCAGCTTTTTTCAAAAAATTGGTATGTTTTCTGTTCGTTGAAATCTCTACTTTCCCATGGTGAAATAAATATATGTTACTATAGTAAATCTTCTGAGAAAATGCAAAAAACAAAAAACCTTTTTTATTTCATACACTTGCTTATCATCTGCTTTATTGCAGATGATACAAACAGATTCATCCATACGGATAATCTGAAAAGACAAAATCGAATTAATAATGCCTTCACTATTTTATCGTGAGTATACCCCCATGAAAAAAAAATATTAAAGAAATAAATGTCAAAATGTATAAAAAATGTATTATAAATATATTAAAAATCTATAATAAAATATATGAAAAATACATGAAAATCGGCCAAAAGTTAGTTATTAAAAATATATTTACTATACATATTTTTTATATATTTATACATTTATTATAGATTTTTAATATATTGAAAATTAGGGTGCTTTTTCGATATTAATTCAAAATAAGGTGAAAAAATTAATATTTTTAATCAAATAAATTACAGCGTATTTGGGACATAAAAAGGCAAGTTTTCACCTAATTTCGTTAAAAAATATTTTTTTTTGTAAAAGATAAAAATAAAAAACCAAAAACTTGGTTTTTTGAACTTTTCACATAAATTTTGAGGTTATGTGAAAAAAGTGTAAATACAGAAGTTTTAGATCGTTTTATTACCTACAACTTTGCCATTTGACTTTTTTCGATAGGACTTTTAGTTTTGCCGGAAATCGAGAAAAACCGTTTTTTACCCTTAAAAACTCACCCCCATCCCCTTCCCGACCTCAGATCGCCCGTAAATTATTTTTCCTTTCATTTTTATAATATTCCTCTCCTTTTCTAATGGGTTGCATCCTACTATATTTTTTTTCACTTTTTATTATTTTTAAAGGCTTCTTTCTACCCTGGTCTATCAAGTGCAACTAACGACTCACCCTCGTTTCGCTTGGGTTAGTCCCTGGGTACGTTTTAATTTTTTTGAGCCTAATTCTTTTCCTAAAATAAAAGTAGCTTATGTTACTCCCTATAACATCAGCTATCTTCCAGTGAAAGTCTCGTCAAAATCAGTCCAACCGTTTCAGAGATTATCCGGAACAAACAGACAGACCGACAAAAATTTAAAAAAATGTGTTTTTCTTATAAGTACCGTATATAGTAAAACGCTGTTATTTCGACATTACAAACAGACACTTCAATTTTATCTGTATAGATATAGATAAAGAAAACAAGTATACCTGTTTCCTGAGCACGTCGGCGGGGCGCTCGCTGCCGTCGCAGAGGGCGCGCAGGGCGGCCTCGAGGCCGGCGCGCAGCTCGGGGCTCGCCAGCTGCAGGCGCATGCGCTGGTAGCCGCGCACCAGCCCCATGCCCAGCACGCCCGGCACGAAGTGCTCGCCCGCCAGCGCCACGTACTGCCGCGACTTGATCGTCTCGATGTGCTCCGCGTGCGTCGCGTCTGTGCCTGCGCATCGTCCGATATACATATCATGTTAATACTAGCGCTTTTTCGTGACCCCGTATTTCATTTTTTATCTAGTGCTTTATCTGTATTAATATTATAAATGTGAAAGTTTCTGAGTATGTATATGTTTGTTACTCTTTCACGCCAGAACGACTGAACGGATCTGAATGAAATTTGGCACAGAGATAGTTTATAGTATGGAATAACACATAGGCTACTTTTTATCCCGGAAAAATGTACGGTTTCCGTGGAATAGGTTTGTTTTTTGTTTTCCTAGAGGTGAACCCGAGAGAAGCGTGGGTGAGCCGCTGGTATTTTTATAAATTACCAGCGGCTCACTCTCACTTTACTCGAGTATGTCTCTAAGAATGAATGATTTAGCAAAAAGGAGTAAAATACAAAAAAAAAATCTTTTCTTTTTGGGCCAGGAAGCTTCACACGCTTATGTAGAACTCATCGGTTTCGTTACCATCATGAGTGGTTAAGGCATTAAGTACAAGTAAACAAAGAACATTCATTTCCTTTTTTTATTTACTATTATACATTTACTTTTACTTATATAGATGCGTCATTCTAATGCTATATTACTGTAAATTTTGACCAAAATCCGTTCAATAGTTCCTGCGTCAAATAGTAACAAACATACATCCATACATTCTGACATACCCTTGTCATATATTCACATATGTAACAAATTATTTTAAAATGCTTAAACAGATTTTGTTATTACCAATGCCGTGTTTCTCCATAAGTGCAATGAGATCTGCTTCTGTGAGAAGATTTGGCGGTGACGTTTTGCCTTCCACCATGTCGATGCTTGTGGGGTCGAATATTTGACCAGACTGCAAAAATATGTTTTATATGAAAAAAATTTTTTTGTAAAAAACATACAATGATAACATATGAAATGATCACCTTCATGTTGTGTTCGTGTATTAACCTTTTCAAATATTTTTTTGATTATAATCACAGTGAATTTTAGATATTTCCATACTAGCATTATAGCAGATCAATGAAATTATTAAGAATGTGTGTCACTTGTTTAAAAATAAGCAAACTATTGTCTATGTATATGATATATTTTTTTATTTCATTGCCAGTAAAAATGAGAGATTCAATAGATCTAGTCATTTTAATATTTTCGCTATCCAATGAATTATATACATACTAAATAATAAATAGATTAAAATATTAACATACGTAATACATAACTAAAACAAACCTGATACACATGTATCTCCTTGGACGACCACTTGTCATACGGATACACTTCCAAGTAATTCCTAGCAATGATCATGAGGCCGTTGGCGCTGAACTTCTCATTAGCGATCTCGATAGTGACCGTGGTCTCTTGACCCTCTGCGTTCTTAGAACAACACGCCAGGAACGATCTCACTATCAGCTCGTACACACGTTTCTTGTTGTCGGATAGATCTACAAATAATATCAGCAAGACTAGTATTACTACATTTTTTTTTAATTTTTATTAAAGTGAGTAGTAGTGAGTAGGAGTAAATATATTGTTATATAACATACATACATATGTATATTAGGGTGGAGCGAAAAAAAAAAATGTTTTTTTTCTTAGCTTAGCTTAATTTCTTGAGGTGGCCCACTGTCTTTCTAAATAATTAATTTAAATTTTTGGTTTGAACGAAATTTCACACGAATATAGTCACTTTCTATCCAACTTTCACTATAATATTGCAATTTGAATAAAAGTAGAAAAAATAACATGTTACTTTTTTGTCTTATAGTGAAAGTGGAGTAGAAAATGACTATATTCGTCAATTCTTGAATATTTTCAAAGATGACCACGTGAAAAAAAAAAATCATTCAAACCAAAAATTTTAATTAATAATTATTTATTTAAAAAATCAGTGGGCCACCTCAAAATGTTGAGTAAAAAAATTGTATTTTATTTCAAAAAAATTAGTTTTTTTGATAACCTACAAATTCTACCCCAAAGCTAAGAAAACAAATTTTTTTTCGCTCTACTCTAATGTATATTACAAAGGGCGTCACATCAGGAAAACATTGGTAAATCACTAGTAAGACTATAAGCACTCACTGTCAGCATATTTGGTGGGATGTATGGGCGGATGTGCGCCATCGTTCTTAGTGCCTTTCCGCGGGGAAGGCCCGTCGGCGAGCACACGCGCCGCGAAGGGCCCCCACTGCGGGTCGCTGGTCTGCAACGACACCAGCTGGCCCAAGTTGATCTCCTTGGGGAACTCCGTGGTCTCGGTACGCGGGTAGCTAATGAAACCCGAAGTATATAGCTTCTCTGCTATCCTCATTGTTTCTTTGGCGTTGATTTTCAGTTTTGTGGATGCTAGCTTTTCAAGTTGCTGGAATTTTGTTCGTTTAATTATAAGTTAACTTGAAGTTACAAAATTCATTTTGCTCAATTTACAAGTATTCCAAACTAAACAGCTATTAATAAATATATAAGATGAATGAAATAAGAAGATAGAAAAAATATAATCAAATTAATAGTACTGGCATATTTTTGTACAAATACATTGTACAACCAGAAAACAAGTTAAACAAGTCACATTCAGCAATTTTCTAATGAATTCAACTTCTAATCTTACATTCATCTTACCTTTTAGCGAATATTAAAAATACTTTGTGTCAAAATCATACTTACTATTGTATCTAAAGGCAACGGTCTAAATTTACTCTTGGGTTTAGTTATAACATTGATGACTTTAGCTTGGCGGTTTTCTAAGCACATATTATGAAATATTTGACATGCGTCCTGATCAAATAGTCTCACTCGGTCCCATACAAAGTCTACACTTAAGTTATTTAGTGTATGATTAACTGCAAATTAAGCAATACAATGTTAAAAAATACTTCAAAAAATAGCGGCCAGCGCGACGCTATGAAACGCACAGGGAGGTGGCCAACTTCGGTGGACGGTGGGAGGTAGCCTACGTCGGTAGGCGGTGGGAGGTGGCCTACGTCTTCTACCTTCTCTGATAGCAGAGTGGACCATGGAGCAATCCCATGGTTGTTGTGGTCTGCTTCGGCAGACCTGCCGTCGGGGCGTCGTAGTTGAGTGCGTAAGCGATCTACGTCACCCCATTAAGACGGGTTTTAGTGGATAGTACTGGCTTTTTGAGCCGGTGAGTCCCACAAACCCACCAGTATATCTAAAGTTGGTATGCGTAAATGCATTTCCCAACATTAAAAAAAAGGTATGCTTTACCGGTTACTATGGAATAGGCAGACTATGTATATGTACAGAAAAGTAGGTAAGTACTTAAAACAATTAAAAAAAATTATATCCCTTACTTGAGAAATGTCTCAAGCTATCTCTTTAACTTTCATTTAAATTTGTTCAGCAGATTAAGCTTGAAAACGTAACAGACAGTTAATTTCTCATTTATAGTATTAGTATGTATTTTAAGGAAAACTTTTAACAAATTTTTGGCATGTAAAACATCATCTTCTATGATTGAGGATTAATATTTAAAATAAGTTTTAAATAATTATTTTTCATTTTAAAAGAAATTATGGAAAATCGAATTACAGTATATCAGCAGTTATCTGTTGATAGTGGTCTGATTCTAGATTCATTCTTTATATACCTTTTATTTTCCAAAACGGCTCCTCTATAAAATCATTTATTTCATTATATCTTTCTACAACAAATCCTAATGTGGGAATCTGGCAGGAACCATAGCTTACTACTCTTCTGTCAAGGACTGATGGAAAAACTTTTTGTAGTCTCATGGTTTGAAATCTTGTAAATGATGCACCTAGAAATTCATAAAAATATATAATATAAAAGTACAGTCTATATTGGTAAAGTTGAAGTAGTACATATAAAAAAAGTGTGTATTTATAAGACCTTTCAGTTTTTTATCCTACCAATAGTGGGGAATTCACTATAGATGTCTTGGGTCGGGGCTAGAAGGTCCCAAATAAGCAGATTACTTTTGAAAACCTTCCATAATAGTTCTTTTTTTTATTTAATAAAAACCATTCACAATCGCAGTGAATATACGATTAAATAAGGAATTAAAGTGTTTGTGCTATTATTATTACCTATCCTTAAATCTAATTCTTGCCTGACATCCACAGCATCACTGATGTTTTTGTTAGGTTGTTCTAAATTATGAAGTGCTCTGGTCACTGACACAGCTGTGATTTCTGAGAACTTTGCTCTGTATATTTGAAGGTTAGGTTTAATTTTTTTACAAACATCAATGATCTCAAATCCTATATTCTCTCCTTCTCTATCACAATCAGTCCATATGATAAGGCCATTACAGGTTTTTACTTCATTTTCTAGTGTTCTCTGGAAAGATGAACATACATTTAAATATTCAAAAGCTTTTTTCTTCATAAGGTATTTTGTTGCACTACATTACTTTTAAAAATAATTATCTATTTTTATCACTAGCAGCTATCCCACAGGAACCAACACACCACACACCACAGGATAAAAATTAAAAAGTAGCTTAGTGTTATTTCAGACTATAATCTATCTCTGTGGCAAATTTCATCCAGATCCATTCAGCCGTTCTGACATGAAAGAGTAACAAACATCCATCCATCCACTCACAAACCTTCACATATATAATATTAGTATAGATCTCATCATTTTATACATACCTAATTTTGAGATCTATTAAGAAATCTATTTGTAACAGAATTATCTGAACTTGAAAGTATTATACCTTTATATTCTTCTTATCATCAGGACAATCTTTAATGACTTGTGCATCAAAAAGAGTCAAGGGATCACAATTATTCCACTGAAATTCAGGTGGGAACTTGTACTCCAATAAGTGTCCAGATACTGATGTCATCACCATAAGAAACTTTTGTTGCATGAATTCTGCTTCAAATTCATATATTTTATTAAACTTTGAAAATCCTTCCCTCTAAATCAAAATAAAAAAAAATATTGATTTGTACAGACATAGAATTCAAAAAATAGGCTTTCTAAATTATGTATTTATACATTTTGATGCCTTATACTTTAGAAAAACCATTTTTAATTATATAAAATACTTAAATTACATAAAAGTCAAAATAGATTGTTTTCTACTTTTGTATCTTGTCTTGTTCATATAAAAACTAAATGTTACTACAGGATATTAAAAACAGAACCATAATAAATTACTTAATTATTTAGATGGCATACAATATAAATTTTGAATGTGATAACAACATTATAAACTACTCCAAGAGCAACATATACAAGAATGAATACTATAGTTTAAGTAGATCGATCTGGACTTTTTAATATTATTTTAAGTAGAAAAATAATAAAACCTAAAATTTGTTTCAAGTAATATATTCAGAAGTGGTGATCCAATTAAAACGATTGCCAAGTTGAACTGTTCGATAGTAGAAATTGATAAATGTTTGACATTACATAAAATAATTTGTTTTTAAGGTGGTGGCGGCCGGTGAATGTTACAACAATACATCTTAAAACTTACTCTTCTTGCAGTTCCTCTGGATAGATGTTGAGCAATATTCTTGGCGGCATCATTTTTTTCAGCTACATTTAAGAATTTACTTTTAAACATTTTTTGATATAACAATATACATGTGTTTTTGTTTGTAAATAAACGAAAATAATTATTTTGTTTAGGAATCAGCACATTTTGCAATATAAATGTCATATTTCAACTGTGAAAACCATTTTCTTCTACTATTTAGAGTTATCTATGAGTAATTTATTAATTCACAGAGATATTGCATTATAAGTACATATAATCTCGTGATAGCAAATTCATCAGTGCCGAACAATCAGTAGTAATTAAAATTTTATAATTAAAACCAGGAACAGCAAGATTAAAGTTAAAACTATTTTGTATTTTGTTTGTGTGACAGGTGAGTGCAGGGGGCGCCAGGAAGACATGCGTAGGTCCGGATTGCCGATTGAAATAGTTTCCGGAACTATGTCCTAGGCCGGAACGATATCGTTCCAATCCGCGATGTCAATTGAAACAGGTTCACAGTTCCATATAGTTCCACATGTGCAGGAGTGAGATGGAGCGAATAAACGAATATATTGGACCGATCACCGAAGCGACTGACTGAACTGAACGTAACCGACTCCTGCCGAACCTACCCGAGCTATAGCTATATATTAAATTTTAAGGTGCTTCCTCACAAGCGTTAATTTTTTTTAGTAAACATCTGTTAAGCCGCGTCCACATGCTGGGCGCTTGCCACAAGCACCGAGAATCTTAAACACGTGCCTAACACCGAACACAAACTAAATACATTAAATAATTAAATTAAAATAAAAAAGCCTTTCATTTCTTGCGCTTACTGTAAATGCTATTAAAACAATTTAAGAAAGTAGGTATTTATTAATTATTAATAAAATCCTTTCATATTCAGTTATATTATAATAATAGTATTAGATCTAATGTTATATTAATTATTATGTATATAAAGAATGTTTATTAATTTAAACTTTTTTCTTAATTTTTACAATACCTAATATGAATTAGAATTTATAATTAATAAAAATAATTACAATAAATAATTAAAAATTAAGATCAATATATATAATAAAATAATTCATAAGTTAAACAATAATTTACAATATTTTTATTTATTTGAAGTAGTTTTTTTTAAGTTTTTATTTTCCATTTTTAGTGAAGATATAGTAGATATCTAGTACCAAAGTAAGAAGAGGTCAAACAATAAAAATATATATTTATACGTGTCGAATTGAGAACCTTCTCCTTTTTTTCGTGGATTTAAAATGATTTCATGCTAAAAAATGTTAAGTATGTGATGTTATCTGCAGCACTGCTGTGTGGAAGCGCCATTATATCGCGTAGGTACTGTGTGTAAACTACTGTAGTGACTAGTGCGCAAGGAACATTTTTACTCTAGAGAACTGCTAGTGCGTGTGCGAGTATTCGCAATAATTATAATGTCATCTCTTACTGTGCTATTACAATTAATTATGTGCCAACTTCACTGTGCGTTAAAGTCGATAATTCATTGATTAAATCTGATTTTCGTTTTGAACTTTTAAAACATTAATAATATATTTTTAAATTTTAATATTCTTTCACTTTTGACACAATATTTTTGTACTTTGATGCGTTCGTCTAGATTCACATTGCGCGCGAAAGCACCGTAGTTTTTTGAAGTTGGTTTAATTTTTTTTAAAACCTTTTTTATTTCGTAATTTTTAGTTTTAAGTAAAAACTGAAAGAGTTTTTGTAAAAAGTAGTAATTACAAAAAATACACTTTTTTATCCATATCTTCAAAACCACTGAACCGATTTTGATGAAATTCTTACTATTCCCTAAGTTAAAATAAATGTAAGCAAATAAAAAGGCACCATCACGTCGGTCGGAATAGTAGTTTCGGCGAAATGCGTGGACAAACATACATACACACAAACAAACAAACAAACAAACATACATACATACATACATCTATACACCTATAAAATTTTGTATATTTGCTTCGAAGCCCTAATATATCATATTATGTTAATATCTTGCAGTTCTAATAATATTATATGCATACGTGTCGAATTGATAACCCCTTTTTTTTTGAAGTCGGTCAATTAAAACTATATCTCCCGCTATGCTGTCCTCGGGAACCGATGACAGTGATAACCTGTTAAAATCGGAACGATCGGATCGGATGAACTATCGGAACTAGATAGTTCCGCGAACATGTTTCGTGAACATAGTTCCTTTATGGAAAGGAACTATTCCATGTTCAATCCACTCCAGGACCTAGTTTGCGCATCTCTGATTAAAAAGTCTTCTATATGGAGGGTAGAGGTTAGGTGAACCGTCTTTTATGGGCGACAAGTTAAATTCAAATCCAAAAATTCAAAATTCAAAATATTTTATTCAGCATTAAATTATTAAAATATCTTACTGAACGTCATGAGTCTACTACCAGGTCGGAAAGAAGAAGCTGCAGACCTGAAAAGAACTGGCGAATTTAGAGAGTGATTTATTTTTTGTGAACTTTTAATAATACTTTAAAATTTACCCATTTGCTACCGTAGCGCCACCTTAATTTGACGCTTTTCGACCGACGCTTATTCATATACAGGGATAGTTTTCCTTACCTATATTAAGAAGTAAATTCTTTCAATAAAACAGTTAACACCTACCATTGATAAGATACCCTGCCCCTGAGAGATATTCGGACACGGAGTCGCTCGGATACAGCCAGCGCAGCAAGAACCACTTGTGATAGCGATCCCGCAATACATTACAGCTCAGAACTTTACCTGTACGTTCAGAACGTTACTCAAGCACATGAGTAACAGCTTCGTACAACGATATTGAGGAAACGAGTACTTATAACTTATTATGAGTACATTTAGCTTTTCTGATAGGTCATTAACATAATTTATAAAGCAACACAGGACGTTCAAAATAAAAGAATTCGTTAACTAAAAATGTACACCGATGCCTGCAATGCACATGACATCATGAAAAAATGAATCAAATGACCTAAAACTCGAAGGTTTCACTAGTGGCCATCGAGGAACCACTATCCACCTCCTGGCTCTATAAACAGATGAGCTTAAAAAATGACAAATATTATAATAAGGTAACAGTCGACTTCAAGATTTGATTGCATAATTTATATTGTGTTTATTATGTCTAATAGAAGCGTGTTAAGGATTCAAATTTCATCTTTTATTGCACATTTAAAAAAAGTTGTAGGTAATAAAGTTATAATAAAAACGAATATTACCCACAAGGTCTGTCCCACTATATTCCTGCAACAGCCGATTCATCATCCAAGGGTTAATAAAGATATCATCATCAGTCTTGAACAGCATCCGTGGGGAACACCTTCTGACGGTCCACTGCAGTATGAGACCTGTCTTCAGGGTCAGATTCTGATAGTGGTCTTGGAAATTGTAAATAATTATGTCACTATATTGTTTTGCTTCTGCGTAGTATTCTGCCTGTCGAAAAATAAAGAATAACAGAACTACAATGGCAATTAATTTTAAACGCTGTGTATCAGAGGTCCTAGATACGAGTTCGTGTCGGGTCAAGTATAGTTGTACTATTGTTCTGTTTGGAAATTCTTAATAATAACCCGAATTTAGGAAGTTTGAGGAGTTTCACCCGCGTGCCTCGGAGAGTATGTAAAGCCTTTGATCCTGAGCCTGATCTCTCACCGCGAGATACGAGTGTAGAATTGTCGTTCCACAGAGTTTAATAGTAAAGGAGTACACGCACTCGTGTATGCGCGCATTTGTACTTACTTTTGCAGTATAATATCAACTGTGCAGTTGACTAATCTCAGTGAGATTGGGCTTTGTAAATTGTAGTCCAAATCGGTCAGGAGGTCATATTATTTATGGAATTAATAAATATGGCCAAAATAACCTTTCCGCCTTTTTAGCTTGCACAGACGTATTCTTTAATAGAAACATCCCATAACCATTCAATCATGAGCGCTCAATTTGATTTATAAAGGGGTGATGGTGGGTCTATTGACATGAGTTTTCAGAATAAAAATATCTAAAAAAATGTCCAATTACATTAAGTCCCATGATCTGGAAGAACTTAGAGGTTTTATTATTAACCATTAAAGATAAAGAGTTTCACTTTTGATTGTTAAAAACTTTTAAAGCCTCTTGTATAACTTTATTAGCCAAATAGGTTTTTTTTAATCAACGTCAACAAAAGAGTGTTAATAAAAATATTAAAAACTCACATCTAAACTCTCCGCAGAGCGTACATTTAATCCTAAAATGAAGTATGTGGACTAAATATGGTCCCCATGTCCTTCTTATTGCGCTTCTTTGTTCAAAGTGAGTGGGCGAAGACGTCACAAGAACTAACAAAGGTACATCTTCGCATGATACTGATGCGGGCTCTATGAAGACTTCTCTTAAAAAAAATATAATATTATTTTTATAATACAGCAATTAATAACGCATATCATATTATATTTGTGTGTAACAGATATTTTTTAAGCTGACATGGCATCCTACATTTTTGCATCGCGAGTCTCGTCAGATAGTTTTGTTGTTCCTTTAATGTCACATTTTTTGCTGGAAGCGTGTGAATAGAAACCGCCAAACTGTTAAAGTCATTTATTCATGTTCTGACTGTACACACAGCGTGGCCAGAGCCATAGGTAAAAATCAGTACTGTTTGAAATTTTCACACCAGCACCGAAAAGTGCTAATTTAACAAACTGAACTGCTTTTTGAGAAAAATTACTCTAAAACTATCCCGATAAAAATATCAAATAAGAGAATCGTGTTAGGTAACGCGCTTGCTTGAAAAATAAAGAAAAACAAGTTTAAACTGTAGTTAAAACCCGTATTTCTTCTTGTGCGAATTCGATGAAAGAAAGCAGTTTATATACGTATTAATATAGTGAAAGTACATGACATCACATCTAGATAACTCTTCAAATTCCTGTTAATTCTGAAATGGTCCAGATCCTGCACAGCAATGGTTGGTAAAAGCGCCTGGCTGTTTGCGTCTGATAACCACCAACCACACACAAGGCACCACATAATGAGGCTGATCAAACAGTATCTTATTATAAGACCTCGTTTTCGAGGAACTAGTGGGGAAAGATATATTATAAAAGCAAATTAGTAATTAGTTTACCAAAAGAGCAGTTTTTAGCGAAAAGCAGACCCAACCCAGACTTCTAACTAGATGCTCGTAGTCTTGGTAAAAAATCTATACTAATACTATAAAAAGGTAAAGTTTGTGAGTTTGTGACGTTGTAGGGGGTAATCTCTGGATCTACTGAATCGATTTAGATGAAATTTGATAAGAAGATATTTTGAGACCCTGGGAAGAACGTAGGATACTTTTTATTCCGGAAATCATTTCTTAAGGAGGTGAAAATGGGGATGAAAGTTTGTATTGGGAATCAAGCTAGGGACGAAGCCGCATTTTAATTTTAATTATAAGCCGAATTTTAATTAGTTGTACAATTTATTATTAAATTATAAAAATGTTTAAAGTTAAAAAATATTGTAAGGTAATTGGTGAAATTTTCATTTTGTTATTTGTGGGTAGGCTGTCTGTAACAAATACCTTCGAGACATCTAATACCTCAGTCTCTCCCGTGACCATGAATGCTGTAAAGCATTCGAAACGTCGGGAAACAAAAATCCAAATAAATCCGCGACAAAATCCGAAAAGATAGTTTTATTTAAAATGTCAAATATTCACGTAAATCTAAGAAAGTATTATAAATTGGTTGATTATTTTTTAGTCACCATTCTAATATTAAGTATATTTCATTCAGAAAAATGAAAGTAAAATTAGCATTGGGAGACAAAATTGCAAAATTGTTTGAATAATTTTAGGCAATCAGTACCTAATTGTAAATAGTAGCCAATAAAGTACTTGTGTAAGGTCCCTTTACATTTTTTCCTGGTCGCATAAACTCAGTCTATGTGTTACGTCCGCCAAACCTTTGTACCTTTTTGTTAACCCCTAACATAAACTTCTACTCAGGATATAAAAATATATTTTTTTACAAAACCTTTATACCAATTGTTATATGGGACTTCCCATATAACAATTTGGAACTTTAAGAACTAGTATATACTGTGTACTTACTCATGTATTTCAAAAGCAGCTCCCGTTTATGTCCAATCGATCTGAAATTCCAAAAACGTTTGTGTATTGTGAATGCGAAATAAAAAATACACTTACGTATACCGCCTGTTTATAAAATACGGGAATTTATGTAGAACTCTATTACTACCTACTAAACCTAATAAACCATTGTAAATGGGGCGTCGCAAAAACATTTAGTATTCAACCCCGACTCTCCCACGGCTGGCCTGCTGAGGCAAACCACAACATCCATAGGGTCAATTCTGCTATCAGAGGAGTACCAGGGGTAACCCGTATGGTACACACTACAGTCTACACCGCCCACAGAGGTGGGCCGCTTCCCAAGCGCGTATCTTGCCTTCACACCGGCTGGATGGCCAGACCTTAATGAGCCAACTTCAACACAAACCCTAAGGGATTCGTCGCACCAAACTCCAGATTTTACAAATTTTTAAAGAAGTTTTTACGGGACGACCATACAATATTTTTGTTTCTTCAAAAAGTAGAGTGCCAGACGAAAAAAATGAGCCCTATCTGAAAATAGAACGAATTATTTTTAAATGCAAACATGTACTTGAAATTGGGTGTGATTTTAAGATCATAAAATATAAATTTCTCGGAAACAGCTAAACATTTCAATTTCAAAAAAAAAATGGTTATTATATGTATTTCGAAGATTATGTACCCTTAGTTTCATGAAAATCAAAAATATTGCAGAAATTAAAAATAAACAACCAAGAAAAATTAAAAAACGGTTTTTTTTGCAAATATCTCAACAACTTTGAGGTTATTGTAAAAAGTGTCATCTATAAAAGTCATAGATTTTTACTAGATCTACAACTTTTGTAAAGAATATTTTTCGATAGGATGTCACAGCAAGCCAGAAATTGTTGACTCATAATGTCCAAGGAATAAAGTTCCATGCAAACTTTTATCCCCTATTTCACCCCCTTGGGGGATGAATTTTGAAACTTTCTTCCTTAGTGGATGCCTTCGTCGTATGAGGAATATGTGTGCGAAACTTCAATTTTCTAGCCTTAGGTGTTTGGCCTGTGCGTTGATACATCATTCAATCACTTTTGCCTTTTATATGTCTGCCTTTTAGATGAGAACTTTATTATAATTTATTTTTTATTACCCATGATAAAAAGTATCCTATATGTTGACCCGGATAACCAGCTATCATGATACAAATTTCACCAAAATCCCTTTAGTGGTTTTTCCGTGATGCAGCACAGACAGACAGACATACAGACAAAATATATGCGATTATTTAATATATTACTTAATAATTAATATATATCATCTATTTTTATTCGGATCCAGAGGGTCCGATTGTGTTGTTTTTTCAACTTCAATTTGTCACATCCAAGGAAATTTTAAAAATACAAAACTATAACATAAGACTTACCACAATATTTCCCAAAATGTTTAATATACTACATAACTTTACATCATTACATTAACTACTTAATATATCTGCCCTCCCGAACCTAAAGTGCAGTAACAGCAAAAACACGAATTCGAGAAAAACGCGCTTAAAGTTTAGAATCCATAAAAATATATCAAAAAGAGACTTTTCGATAAAACCTTGAATGGAAAGTGAAAGAATATGTACCAAACTAAAATACTAAACATTGTTACGTTAGTTTTTTTATAAAAAACTATAATTATGGCAATTTTAATTTTTTTGCCCCTATTACTACACACACTTTATTTGTATCATCTTTTCAAAAACTGTTTTAAATGCAGTAAATCCTGTTATTACTGCATTTTAGACATTTCTTCCATGATTGTTACTAACTAAAGTGCAGTAATATTATGAAAATACTGCTATTTAATCTGTTTTTTTGAACAAAACACTGATATTCCACACTTATAGTAATATAAAATTACCTTTAACTTTGATAAAAATATGTAATTTCTTAAACAAAACTGGACATGCATTTATGACTATGCTATTAAAACTATTCATCAAAACATTGTACATTATAATCTAATAGTGTAAATTGTTTTATATGACTAACAATATAACAATCTTTACAAGATGTTGATAATCTTAACTAGTTAATCCTCTATAAAACTATATCACATGTATTTCTCATGCATGGATCAATAAAATTTACATAAAATCTTTCTTCTGAACATAACTAATTACTAAATGAGTATTCTTGTCTTACAAAAATAATAGTCTGAAAAGATTATGGAAGGGAGAACTAAGGAGAATTAACTTATATGGGAAACAGGTTGAAAAAGTGTCCAGTAGTGAGCAGCAAATTATAGCTCAGAAACTCACCGTTAAGCCTAGTTCGCATTAAGCTAGTATTTTAGTCTAGTAGCGAGTAATTTAGTAACTAAACGTGTCTGAACACTAAAAATTTAGTCGATTAGTTTAGTAAGTAATTTAGTCGAGTCAATCCATATTATTCTATTTTTTTGGGCAAATTGCAGCCCACACCACGCGTTCGAGTTCACTGGTTCACCGGCTAAACAAGTACGAACCTGTCGTATTAGTCGAGTTTATTAGTTGCCGCCATAACATTCATTAACAGAAAATATACACAACTTTCGGACATTCTCAAACTATCGAAGTATTCTTTGGGATCTTCCAATGCTAATTCCTTCAGAAGACAATTAGTAGCTCCTAGTTTATCTTGTCTTTCGATCCATTTTCGTACCCATAGCTTCTTTTTATTAATCACACAAATTTCCTCATCTACCTCTTCTAAAATAGCCGTTACGATCAGCTTAATCAGTTTATTTACTTTATTGCGTTGTAGGCTGTTCATCTTGCAAAACACCACTCACTTGTAAACTGTACTCGACCAAAGTGCGAACGATTTTTGGTGAGTAGCGAGTAATTTAGCTACTAAATTACTCGCTACTAGACTAAAATACTAGCTTATTGCGAACTAGGCTTTACAGCACTAGCGTAGCAAGTAGATGTGATGTGAAGTTAGTAGTTTTTAACGGAGTGACGTGTGCTGAATTATTATTACTTGAAAATAATATATAATTATATTGCTGTTTGCCTATGCTAGAACTATTTAGAAAAGTGCGCCACAGCAAAGCGGAAATCTTTCTTTCCTTGTTTAATTCACCTTCTTACTTTTATGACGTTATGTTTTAAACTAGCGACTCACCCTCGCCTCACTCGGGTTCGTCCCTGGATACTTTTTTTGAGCGGAACTCTAATTCTTTTTTTTAAATAAAAGTAGCCTATATTACTCCCTATAACATCAGTTACCTTCCACTGAAAGTCCGTCAAAAACAGTCCAGCCGTTTCAGAGATTATTCGGAACAAACAGACAGACAAAAAATTTTAAAAATTAGTTTTTCTTATAAGTACCGTATATAATTTCATATGCATTTAGTAAAAAGGTTTATTTTGACATTACAAACAGACACTACAATTTTATTTATCTGTATAGATGTATAGATTCATATACTTGTTTTCTGTGGCGCCACCAATTTAATGCTTGTCAGCGGTCACTTTTTATACGAGAAATAGTTCTCCTTAGTTCTACCCTCCATATCTCTTTGGTACAGACACAGCATGGCATGTCAAGTCAGCCTTAAGCCACAGATCCTTGAGACAGACAGACAGAAGGACTGCCTCAAACCGCGATATTGCCTGTCCTGTGTTTTAATATTTTAATAATTTTATCTATTAAAACGCAGTATTAGGGAATAATATTTGACTTTAAGTATCTTAAGTAGTATGAATTGGATGGAGCAAACTAACTAATATGCAGTAAAATTTATAAATATTGTAAACTAAATGGTCTTTTACAAGCAACTACAAAACATCCTACAAGTTAAACTGCAGTAAAGTTATTAAATACTGCATGTCTTTTAGTTTTTCACAAGAAATTACAAAATCCCCCACAAGTTAATGTGCAGTATGGAATGTTAATACTGCACTTTAATTAGGAATATAAATAAAAAATATTTTTTCTTAACCTTTGCAGTATAATCAATTTGTACAGAGTCGAATAATACTGCATTTTAATAAGTTTTTTCTTGAATCTCCTAGAACAAACTACTATTTTAAGTGCCACAAAATATGATAAAACACTGCAGTTTAGTTAGGAAACAGAGAAAAATCTTATGCAGTATTAATTGTACTGCGGTTTAGCTGGTAAACATGGAATATTTTAACAGATTTGTGATATTTTTGCTGTTACACCTTCCGAAAAAACATTAAAATAAAATACTTTTATTAGCGCTACAGAAAAAAGAATTAATTTGACTGATAGCTACTAAAATGGGGATTTAGAATATATATTTAACTCAAAACCGACCAAAATGTCTATTACTGCACTTTAGGCTCAGGTGGGCAGATATGAACTCTCTAAAATCTCTGGCTTTATAAAATCGTGTGTTGATAGCAATATACTCAATATATAAGTAGCAATATACTCTATGATTCTCAATGATCGCAATGCTCGTGCAATAGCATAACTTATCAATTTTTTAAATTTTCCTATATTTTTGAAATGTCTTCGTGATTGCTGTCAAAACTCAAAATCATAACAGATAACATTTAAATATATAATATTTTTTCTATCAAAGAAAAAAGGCCCGTAAAACTCCTTAGACGAATTTATTGTTAATTCATATTTCATATCTTATTTGAATTTTGTTTGTTCTGAACACAATGATAATACTTCATGTCTATGTATAATACACATCACATTCAAAAAGTTTTCATTCATAATTTCATTAATCGTTACATTTCTTAAATTTTATACTGTAGTTCATTATTCCTATAATTTGAAATATTAATATGGGCAATGATTGACAGATTTAATTAAGAAATAAGTAAACGAATGTATTTAAATTTATTTAATTTAAACACTATACAGTATACATTATACACAAATAATAATCTTTGGTGATTTAACGCCATATCTATTCATTACTCATTAGATAAACTTATTAATTTATAATTAAATTAAACATTTCCATAAATTAAAAAAATCTCTTATTATTACTAAATACCGAGGTATTTTAAAGACCTATTGCTAATTTAAATTAGGTATTTAATCATTATCAATAACACTTAATCAGTTAAGGTCTCGATTTTATATGTAATCTTAATTTAATTCATTAAGATTACAATTTAATAATACAATCAATAATAATTAATATTACTCTAATATGTTTTGTTTTATTTTTTATTTTAGAAAGTAAAGTTGAACCTAGTACAACGTTGTGCTTACACTTTTTTTTCATATTATAGCTATTTTTCCATTACTTATTCTTCATCTGATGGCTGTTTGACCCAAAAACCCCAAGGCGCATAACCGTCATGCTTGGTCGGTCCTCTGTATACTTTTATTTGAACTCGGCCTACATCATCTGAAATAATATCATCATTTTTAACTAATCTTTCTTTGTAGGTATACCAAATATATTTGGGTTTGGTGATTAAGTATACTTAAATCTAATAAATACACCTATCAGAATGAGCCAATTTTTATCCCATATTAAAATCAAGCTCATTATCATATTTACTTATATGGTAAAAAAAACGTGTGTGTACCTGTGTGTAGTGTGTGCACGTAAGAAGTTATACTTCTTTGGCGAAACAGAACAAAAATAGCTAAGATTTCATCTCGTATGTCACAACTCCCTGTTTGTAGAAGGAATGCAGCTAACTTCATGTCGCTTTTTGGCTGTCGGTGTGAGCGCGCATCGTAAAAATTTAACTCATATTTTTTTCCAAACGTGCCAAAAGAAGTATAACTTCAAAAATGTTTAGCGAATGAAGTATGTTTGTATGGTTATTACTTCTTCATGTTGAAAAGGCTGGATGGATTTGGATGAAATTAAGTAAATTGATAGATTATGATTTGGAGCAACACTTTACCTGGTGTACAACTACATGAATACAGATATTATAAAGACAAAAAGTATGTAGGAATGCACCAAGGCAATGCGAGGGAATGTTACAAGTGATTAATGATTATATATAACAACTTCTAGTAGTAACCTTAATGGGCTTACATACTGTTGCATGTTTATCTAAATACTAAAAACAAAATTAAATATTTGAAAAATCTAGTTATAAATGCTTTTTTATACATTACTGATTTACAATTTTCTTTTTCTCAATACGACAACAATAATGGAGCTTTTTATAATTTGTTGGTAAAAATTATTTTATGATTTTTGGATATTAAATGAAAAAAGAGCTTACCTTTTCGATCATCTGCATGTCCACTATCATCATTATAATCAAATTCTGCAGGTCTGCCGACCGCTAATGCCACAAGCGAGAGGAGTAACAGTATGCAACAAAGTTTCTTCTGAAATTGACAAAAATATTATTACATAGTAAATACATAGATAGCTATTTATTGTCAATTACTTTAGCTTCAAATAGTTCAAAATGTTGTTTTAATATTCATTTACAATTAAATCTATCCATATTCATATAAATACACGTTTTCATCCAAAAAAATCATTAATTCTATTCTCGGACAAATTTAAAAGTCAAATACTTATAAGAAAAGGATATTTTTATTTATTTTTAAAAATAAAAAATACATCTTCGTTAAACTATATTTATTTTAAAATCACATACTTTATACAATTTAACATAATATTATCAATGAATTTTACATCAATTATTATCATATAATTATTATTAAGTTTAAGTTTAATATTTTGTAATCCAGTATAGCAGAATTATCAAATATGAACCTATAGATAACTATTTTTAACAAAATTAGGTATACTAACTTCAAAGTAACTTGAAAGAAATTGTTCAGTCCTCAAGCGGACTTTTTAAATGGAGAACAGTTTTTACATGTTTTTACACTTTTATACTTACATAAAAATACAGTAGTAGTATACAGATATACTACACATACCAAACAAACTTCATATTTTACAATGATGAATAAACTCACATTATATTCATTCTAAGATATAGGTTTGACACTCCAACATCCACAATATTAATTTCTTAGTTTAACTAAATTATATTTTTATTTTCATTTTTCCTGCATATGAAAACTAAGATTATTTTTTTACATTTAGTATTAAACTTTGCTACTTTCAGATACTCGATCTGACTCATTTCCACTATCTGTAGAAACTGTCTGAGCTACACTAGACTTAACTTTTTCTTCTTCTTCTTCATCTTCACTTAATGAAGAACAATCTGATAATTCAGCATCAATCCACAACTTGGCTTTCTTCTTTTTAATCTGAACATTTTCAGCTTTCCTTTTAGTGCCTTGTTTAGAAGTTCCTGCTGCTTGCCAACCAGCATCTACCGCTGCACCAACCCTCTCTGGTAACTCTTGACGCTCTTTCTCATAATTTGGGTTTAGATTTACCTCAATTTTAGGTTCAGCAATCAATCTTTCTAACTTTTTCTGTTTTCTTTCTGCAGCTTCACGTTCTCTATCTTCTTGTCCTTCTAACCATTTTCTCAAGCGTTTTTCTTCATTGATATCACGTAATCGCCTTCCAGAAAGATCTCTACATGCTTCGCGATTTGTAGTTTTTTCAATTTGTGCACCAATAGCTCGCAACATGGACCCAAAACCACCTTTTCCGCCAATGATTCTTGAACATACTCGGATCACATTTTCAATATTCATAATTGAAATCTCATCTGCTGTAGGTTTTCCATTAACTAATACGTATAAATCTTCTAAAGGAATGCCATATTGCAAGGAAATTTTCTGTTTTAAGTCAGATACGTTAGCAAACTCGATGTGTGAAAGAAGATGATTATCAAAATATACCGCCATTTTTAAATAACTTTAATTTATATTCATTAAATCGAAAACTTGTGGTTAAACAAATTTAAATTAGTACACTTGTTTACTACGAATTTAATAAAGTGGAAGACAATCCACACATAGGTCGACAACTACTTGACACTGACAGCTTTCTTCGCAAAACATGACGTCATGATTCTTATAAAACAGGCTAAAAATGACAAAAATGTATTATACCTACGATTTATATATATTTTTATTAAGTTTACGGAATCTATTATTAATAACTTAGTAAGTATATATCGCTTTAATTGTAAAAATGTAGATATTAAATTAGCTAAATGCTTAATAATTATTATAAATAAAGAATTAGATTAATTAATATAAGTACACATACTAAAATTAATCTATACATATAATAAAATTCGGAGTCGGATCTGTATATTAACAGATTAACTGTCCGCAAAATAGACACAATATTTAAACAATCGAAATGTTCACATAAGACTCATGGGACAGGGAAACGGTTAAATATTTTTTTTTTTGGAAAATCTTATTGAAATGTCCATTATTATCGATAGAGAGACCGAATATACAGTTTTTAGAATTTCTGTCTGTCTGGGAACGCATCACGAGAAAGCCACTGGACATATTTTGATGAAATTTGGTACGATGATAGCTGGTGTACCGAGTGAACATATAGAAATCTTTTTACTGCGAGAAAATCATCTCTGAAAAATCAATACTACATCGTAATAATAAAACTCGTTTTCAAAGAAAAAAGTACATATATACTTAAATGAAAAACCTATAATAGTCAAATATTGGTTTTAAATGTGATAATACTTACAATGCTGATCATTATTTCCAAATTTTGTAAAACTGTTGTTAGAACACAAATATCTAAATAGAACTGAAGCCGTATATTAAATATATTGATCTTTTATAGATTCTTGAACTGGTTAAATGATCTACCGTTCACCCTAATTTCACGGTAAAATGAATACAAAAAAAAAACATTAAAGAAAGTGAAAGTAACTATTACATTTTAGTTACGTTTGCGTTTGATACTTAATAAAAATAGAAATGTAATAATACATTTTCATTTAATCCAGTTTATTAGTATAGAGTTATAATTAAATTTCTAATTTAAGCTTTAAATATTTGGTTGACAAAAGAGATTATAGGAACAAAATAAATATCGGAATCAAAGTGAAAGATATTAAATTCAATATTAAATAAACATAAAGCTCTAACTGAAAATACGGAAATCCGGTAATCTTATTCAGTAAAAATAACTGGGATTTTATTCTAAACTCCAGGAAGGTAAGTAAAAGAGGTAGGTAATTCTTCTGATGCAGAGATAAAGACAAAGATGTACAGGAAGATTTCAAAAGTCTTTGGTGAAAGGCACAAAAGTGGATATTAAGCTTACGCAATGGAAAACGCTAGCAGACTTTTCACGTTCAGATTGGAGTATGGAGATCTCTTAAGGCCCATCATAATAGTATATTAATTAGGTAGTAGGTAGTAGCAACTCACCCTCGCTCCTGTCGGGTTCGTCCGTTTTAACGGCTAGGATAGATTTTTCAAAGATGAGACATTGTTCTGCAGTAAAAAGTATCCTATAAGTCGGATAACCAGCTATCAACATACAAAATTTCATCAAAACCCCTCCAGTAGTCAGTACTTTTCCGTGATGTAGTCATAGACAGACAGGCAGACAAAAATTGAAAAAACTATAGATTCGGCCTCTGTATCGATAATAATGTCTATTTCAAAAAAGTGCAGAATCGGCTGAGTTACAATTTTATTATACTATGTATAGATAAATGAACCCCGCGGAATATGTGTGATTATAATATATAACTCTATATGTAATGTTACGCAATGTTTGCGGACTTCTTGAGTCTTGAGTGAAACTTATTAAGTCGTGGTATATTGAATTTATTTGATGTCACCTTTTCCTACTAATAGACCAATCGGAATCCGCTTATTTTTAAGAGAAAAAAATATATATTGAAGACCTGAAGTTTTATGATTTTAAAATGTTAGCAGGTACCTATATAGGGAATTCAAATTCGTAAACGCCCCCTATGCCCAGCTACCCCCGAGAAATGGGGGGACGCAAAGCGTTGAAAAATAGTTTTTTTTCAATTTCCGCTTTACTGTGACGTTCTATCAAAAAATGCTTTCGACAAAAGGTTTAGTAAAAATCTACAACTTTTATAAATAATACATGTTACAATAATCTCAAAGTTTTCGACATATTTGCAAAAAACTCGGTTTTAACTTTTTCTTGGTTTTCTATTTTTAATTTCTAGAATAATCTTTTGATTTCCATGAAACTAAGGGAATGTTATCTTCGAAATACATTTTAATAAAAGAAAAAAATGAAATGGAAATGTTTAGCCACTTCCGAGAAAAGTATGTTTTACGGTCTCGAGAAGCTGAACCTCACCCTCAACTACAAGTGGACGTTTACATTTTAAAAAAAGTTCGTTCATTTTTTATATAGGGCTCATTCTTTTCGTCTTGACCTCTTCTTTACAAAATATAAAAACATTGTATGGTCGTCTTGTAAAAACACCCTTAAAAATTAAAAAAATTGAGAAATAGATAATTTTTTGCTTTGTAAACTACATTTTTTTTCAATTATCATTGAAGAAGTGTACTTTATTGACCAAATTTTTATAATTTAATTATACCAAAGTATTTTTCAGGAAAGAACGAAAAAATGGTATTCTTAAGTTTTCAATTTGACGCTTATTATTTACACAATGTCGCCGTAAGCATTCCAACTTTGCAATTTAACGAATCGTGAAAAAATTATAAAAGTTGGAATTTACGTAAAACCATTGCTTGTGTATTTTTTGCCGTAGAATCTATTTATGTTATATTTTTTCGAATTTATCGATAATTTATTGGTTTTTGATCGATTTTGGAGTTAATTTTATTGATTTTTCTGAAAAAAATGATTTTAAGGAAATTACAGAAAGAAATAAATTCATTTATAGTCTTATCTTGTTTGTTCATTAGTTAAAAATATATTTAAACAATTAAGTTGATATTTACAAAATTTAGTCATAGCTTTGTTAAGAAATCATAAATATTGTAAAAAGTGTTGTTTATAAAAGTTGTAGATTTTTACTAGACCTACAACTTGTGTAGAAAACATTTTGCGATAGAACGTCACAGTAAAGCGGAACTTGAAAAAAAAAACTATTTTTCAACGTTTTGAGTCCCCCATTTCTCGGGGATATGTGGGCATAGGGGGCATTTACGAATTTGAATTCTCTATATACCTGTTAACATTTTAAAATCATAAAACTTCAGGTTTTCAGTTTATTATTTGGTTTATTTTGGTCTAAAAACATAAAATTAGCTATTTTTAAAAATATAATATACTTTGTATTAAATATAAATACCTTGACTCTTTGCGCTTCGCTCGGAGTTTTCGGCCAAAAGTACAATTTTCTTTAAAAAAAATCTGAAAACTTGAATAAATAGAAAAATAAAACAAAAGTAAAAGCTTTGTATCCGACCGGGATTTAAATTCGAATCGATTCGTTACACCTGTGATTATGCCTGAGTGTGCGAAATTAGCGACCATATTTTGCGTGAAATAACGCGAAATAAAACCGCATGAATACTCGAAAACATGCGTTTTCCCAGATATAAGACTAATCTAGATCGATTTTTCGCCCCCGAAAATTACACATACCAAATTTCAGCGAAATCGTTAGAGCCGTTTCCGAGATCGCCGGTAAAAATAAACAAGAATTGCTCGTTTAAAGGTATTTAGAAATATGTATTAAAAAAAATGTGCAGTATCGTCAGTTTTCAATTGTTAGTTTCTTATCAAAATTATCCTAAATTGCCAGGAATTCTCAGCTCTGGCTTTTTGTACTTGTCACAGCCTAACAGGGCCTATAGTAATCTACTGTACTATTATTAATCACTCACAAAATTGTAACCTATAGATGGCAAATAAACGTATTGAGGACTGAGGTATTGAGTATTAAATTGTGTTTTTTTACCACTTTATACTTAAAATCCATAGCAGATCAAGGGCTCTTCAAAAGAATTTGCTACGGGCCCCGCGTTTGCTTAATCCGGCACTGACACGAAGTGTGATTAATTTTGCTCGCACTTGTCATTTTGCATAAAGAAAAGCTACTCTACTACTTAAAGCTACTCCATTATTATCTATATATTAATACGTGAAGAGAAAACTTTGAACACCTTTTTAAGCAGATTGCATGTATGGAGGAGTATGAGCTTTGGCATAGTTAAAGTTTATATAGAGAAGGAGTGCAGGAAGCCAAACTTAATTGACTCTCTGTTACCCGCCAATCCGCTCGCGCATTTTACTTATATATATATATATATATATATATATATATATATATATATATAATTACTTCACTGCTTAAATATGTAGCATGGAGTTAGATAACCTTCATCAATATTATACGAATACTTACATAACATAAAGATGAAAAGTTTGTTTCAATGTTTGTATGTACGTTCAAAAGTCTGAACCTATAGGCCCATTCAAAATTCTTTTAGATTTTATAGACTATCTATATAACTTTGAAAAAAGGATTTTGAAAAAAGGACACAAGGATCAAACTTAATGAATTTTGGTTGATTTTCAACCACGGGGCGATCTTTAGTTATTATTATTTTAAGAAAAAATTAAGGTGCACCGATGTGTTTGAGGTCGAATAAAGCGGGATAGAATTATAAAATGAAATATATCTTCCAGATAAATTTAGAAAGGTGATAATAAATATAATATACATTAGATATTTAAATATTTTTATAAATTCTGAAAATTGAAAAATAATCAATATTTTTGAAATATTGATTTAATTTAAACAGATTATAATAACACCATGTAAATAATTGTGTAATCTGTACTTACAGGTTGATTGACGCCATTATTGCCTTGCTGTCAAACGAATGAAATATCCAATAAAATTTGAGCTTTTTAAAATTAACAGGAAGTCGTCTTATCCCAACAGACAACGGGTGATCTCTGATTTCGATTTATTGTAATATTATGGCTCAGAATATTAACCCTCATTACGCATCGTCGTCGAATCCCGCCAAACAGAATGAGGACACGATAAAATTAAAGGACAATCACGCTGTGAGCAAACGGTAAGATTTTTTCATTAAATACATCAATTTTCTAGATTTCTACAGATGGCTTACAAAATCTTATGGTTTCAGACTTCAAAAAGAACTTATGGAACTAATGCGATGTGCAGACAAAGGAATATCAGCGTTCCCAGAGAGTGACAATCTATTTAAATGGATCGGAACCATCAACGGCCCACAAGACACGGTGTACACTGGTCACAAGTATAAATTATCCCTGGAATTCCCTAATTCATACCCTTACGCCCCTCCTGTAGTAAAATTTTTGACACCTTGCTTTCACCCTAACGTAGACACATGTGGCTTAATATGTTTAGATATACTAAAAGACAAGTGGACGGCCCTTTACGACGTGCGTACAATTTTACTATCGATACAAAGTCTATTAGCAGAGCCAAACACTCAGAGTCCCTTGAATCAGCAGGCATCTTATTTATGGCCGAACCAACCTGCCTATAAGAAATATTTAGATGAATTTTATAGTAAACATAAAGACTCATAGTTCAGTTAATAGTTGAGTTTCATTGTATTTTATGTTGTGAATGTATCGAGTGAGATTGAAACTTATGGAAGCAGTCTGTTTGATTTTTATGTTATTATTTGTCACAAAGCAGTTCAGTTGAGAAAAACTAATTTAATATAGCTTATGACCTTGTTTATGTGGATATATCAGTTATGTTAATTTATTGTATACCTTTCAATTTTTCACTTAGCATCTGAATTTGTAAAAGACAGAGTATGTATATTGTAAGATCACTGGCAAATATAATTATATAGTTCAATTCCAAACTTTGTTTCTTTTTCCAACAAATGACTTCTGTTCTTAATATGTTATTTAATATTTCAGATAACATAATCAAAATGTTTTCGATCAAAATATGCTAAAATTTTCATATAATATAATGAAATTAATGCTCAAAGTATCAATCGTCTTAATATGGTTTGATTTAAGAAAGAAAAATATAAATGATTAAACCCAATTAGATTTGATTTTTAGAAACAAATTCTTTAATTGTGTGTCTTAGTGCTAGCTAAAACCTAAATATTGTATGTAATATTTTAAATGTAATATGTTTCTAAATTCTTTTTGTGTACTGTTTTTTTAATATTTTTTTTAAAAAGTATTTATCTTTTTACTTATATGTCTATACTAATATTATAAAGACTCTGAGTTTAATTGTTTGTTCTCGTAAACACATACTGTAATGCATAACTTTTTATATTTAATGTAAAATAATGTAGGTAGTCTTTTGTCTGGAATCCTATATAAAATAAAGATGTTGAGAAATAAAAAACAAATCATACTTATAAATGTATATAACTATAATTTAATAAGTTAATAAATTTTTATATAATTAACATGAAATGCACTCTTCAGAAAATGTAATGATATTACATTTATAATAAACATTTAGGTAACATTAGTTTCTACCCGCGTTGATATTCTTTCAGTTTCTGAATAGCGCCATCTATAGAAAAATTACCTTTTAACCACAGATGACATAATCTATACATATTATAATAAAATTGTAACTAAGCCGAATCTGCACATTAAATATTTTTTGGAAATTTTTATTGAAATAAACATTATTATCGATACAGAGGCCGAATCTATATTTTTATAATTTTTGTCTGTCTGTTACCGCATCACAGAAAAACCACTAGAGGGATTTTGATGAAATTTGGTATGATGATAGCAGGTTATCCGGGTCAACATATAGGATATTCTTTACCGCGAGAAAATATCTCATTTCTGAGAAAAAATACAATGAAAGAGTATACTAATATGTAAAATCTAAGAATTTGGTTTTTGTTCAAGTGAACGCGGGCGGAGCCGCGGGCAATGCTAGTAATACAATATAAAGTAAAAACGTAAACTAATTTAGACAGCTGAAGATTTTTGTTTAAGCGCGCTAATCTCTAGATGTACTAGTTCGATTTTAATTTTTTTTTTGCGTCTTATAGCCCATTTACTGAGGTTATAGGCTATCTATCTCACATCACACTGACCTACGAAAGCGGAGTAGTTTCTAGTAAATTTAACGACGTGGTATAATCTGTACATCTATCTATACGTAGTATAATAAAATTGTAACTAAGCCGAATCTGTACATTCAATATTTTTTTTGGAAAATCTTATTGAAATAAACATTATTATCGATACAGTAGCCGAATCTATAGTTTTTAGAATTTTTGTCTGTCTGTCTGTCTGTTACCGCATAACAGAAAAACCACTGGAGGGATTTTGATGAAATTTGGTATGGTGATAGCTGGTTATCCGGGTCAACATATAGGATACCCCTAACCGTGGAAAAATGTCTCATTTCTGAGAAAAGATACAAGAACTGCAATGTAAAAGTATGCTTATATGTAAAACCTAAGAATATGGTTTTTGGTCATCTGAATGCGGGCGAAGCCGCGGGCAATGCTAGTAATAAGTCTTAAGTCAAATCTGTACCTACATTAAAAAAAAAAGATAAATTTTAATGATACATTTAGTCATTACTCATTATTTGAGACCCTGGGAAGATATATGATACTTTTTATCCTGGAAATAATCCTCTAAGGGGATGAAAATGGGTATGAAAGTTTGTATGGGGAATCAACCAGTAGTAGTAGTAGGTAGTATATAAATGGGCAAGTTTGGATGGATGGATGTTTGTTACTCAATCACGTTAGAATGGCTGAACGGATCTAGATGAAATTTGGCATAGAGATAGATTATAATCTGGAAAAGCACATAAACTATTTATGTCAGAACAATGTACGGTTCCCGTGGGATCGACTTGTATTTATTTTTTCACTAAGGACAAACCCGAGCGAAATCAGGATGAATCGCTAGTATACAATATTCATTATATTTACGGCATAAATGGGAAGGTGGTACAATATTTATAACTTGAGAACAATATAACACAATCGGAGAAGAATAAAACAAATCCACACGCTTATGTAGGCTAACAAAAAAATTTTCACCCCTCAGTTACATGTATCGAGTACTACCCCTATATTTTATTTATTGTAATTTCACTAGAGAAATCTTTTTCGGTCAAGACGTCTAGATACTTACATAATGTCAGCTACGTAGCTCTAATAGTCTGAGTAAAGTGGCTGTGACATACGCAAGGCGTAATTATAAGGGAAAATATAAAAATAAGATTTGTAACTTATTTTTTTATATATGTATGAAAGCGGATTCGAATCATGTCCATGGAAAAAAAATATATCGGCGTATACTTTGTTTTTTTGTCAGGTGGTGTATACTTTGTCTTATACTTTAACTATAGCGGCTCACCACGCGCAGATCCAGAGTTAAATTTTGGGGGGAGGAGGTCAGATCAAAGGCTGAAACATTCATATAATAAACCAGTAACTTAGCAAAATCTGTACGTGAAATATAACGTATAGTGTACAGAATATAGAGCCCGAAACAATTTTTTTGTCTGTTAGTCTGTTTGAGTGTTTCACTCAAAAAGTACTGAATCGATTTCAACTAAATTTTGTGTAATGATAACTTATTATTACTTGGGTCAACATTAAGGATGCTTTTTACTACAGGATTTTTTTATTCCCACGGGAAATTACAATAACGGTTTCTATCGAGTCCTTAGAAATTTAACTGGAGAGATAAATAAAAAGAATGTACTAGAAAATCGTAGGTCTTAAAAAGGCCTTACAAATCTGCAATAGCATAAGTTTTTCTTCTAAGGTACAGTCGCAATAACTATTTATATCTATTCAAAACGTACCTACAGAAGGACGCAGCCGAACGAAGCAAGGGTAAGCCGCTACTAAGAAAAATAGTTTTATGATTTTAAGCCGATTATAATACGTTTATTTTTAAAAGAAAAAAAGAATTACAACCTGGAGTTTTATGGCATAAAAAGTTAGCAGGTATATAAGGAACCAAAATCCATAAAATGCCCACCCTGTTTAGCTACCCCCGAAAAATGGAGGAATGCAAACCGTTAAAAAATATTTTGATGGTTCCGGCTTACCATCACATCCTATCGAAAAATCTAGTAAAAATCGACTTTTATCGAAGACACTTTTTATAATAACCTCTAAGTTTTCGAGATATTTGGAAAAGAACCGCATTGTAATTTTTTCTTAGTTTTTAATTTTTAATTTCTGTAATAATTTTTTGATATTCATGAAACTAGGGAAACATAATCTTCGAAATACATATATAAACCAATTTTTTTGAGTTTGAAATGCTTAGCCTATTCCGAGAAATTTATATTTTATGCTCTCGGGAAGCTTTAAAACTTGGAATGTTTACCGCGACGTTATAATAACCGTTAAATTAAAACCTTAAGTCCTAAGGCTTTTTGAGTAATGACCCCCATGACACCTCCCCCCCCTGGATCCGCGCTTGACTCATCCTCACTTCGCTCAGGTTCGTCCCTACTTACGTTTTAACGTTTAATATAAATTTCTCAGAGATGAGATATTTTCCCGCAATAACTAATATCTTATAAGTTGATATGAACAATCAGCCATCACCGTCCCTTTCATCAAAATCTCTCCACTGGTTTTTCCGTGATACGGTCACAGACAGGCAGATAAACAAGACAAAAATTCTAAAAACTATAGATTCGGCCTCTGTAACGATAATAATGTTTATTTCAATAAGATTATCCAAAAAATATTTAGTGTACAGATTCGACTTAGTTACAATTTTATTATATGTATAGATAGACTAGCGACCTAAAGGTAATCCGCTCACTGGATATTGACGATTATCAGAAGTCTTGTTTTTAAATAAAATCATTTTTGCTTATACGGAGGAGGAGAGGGTCTGAAATCCTTAAAAATTTGCTTATGTAATACTTGAACGACCCCTAAGGTGTATGAGAATTTAGATATAAATTTAATAGGAAATTATCTTACAGAATACCACCTTAAAAGTATTTTTTTAAAGAAATATTGCTGTTTATTTATCCACATGCGACGTGCATTTACCTTGGTCTTTAAATAACTGCTATGAATAGCTACGAATCTTTAATTAATCCACCTGATACACACATTTTATTCAACTTGGGATTTCCTCTTATACATTAAATAAAAGCTTAGATTGTAAAAAGTATTTTAACATATTTAATCTAATTTTTACATATTATATTAATATTTCCAATTTGGTCGCAAACACATAATATTATACAAAATTAAACTACATTAAATTATAACATAGCAAAACGAAGACTAGAACAGTACCTACATCCATAGGTGCCGGGAGGGTGGAGGGGGTGGAATTGCACCCCCCTGCCATGAAGCAATATACATATATGTATAGAAAAACTTAAAGAAATAAAACTATTTTAGTAAAATCCCTGTTTTTAAATTTAGATATCTGCAAAAAAAAGATGCTAAATAAGATATGAATAAAAATTATAAAGTTAATCATTTAAAGATTTGTGAGTAGTTTAATGTGAAGAAGCTGATGCACCTCCCTAGAAATAATTCTTTCACCGCCCATGCCTATATCTGATGTTTTCATCACTGACTTGTCTGTTGAATCATTTCTTTTATATAAATTAATAAATATTAAGCTGTAATGAAATGAACATTAAAAAAACACATAAAACATATTGAAGCATTTGCTATTTGGAACTTCGACGAATAACAAACATTACATAAATTACACATACCTTTAACTAAAATTAATGTAATATAACATTAAATACTAAATAAATTACCTTAATATATTTATCTCATTGCATTTATTTACTAATATTTTTGATGGCTTCAACTTTTTTTTTAATAAAAAAACAATATAGAGAAATTAATATGAATGTACATTAATGTTGCTGTCAGCGACTCAAAGAGTCTATACACATATATATGACTAGCGACTCACCCTCGCTTCGCTTGAGTTCGTCCCTAGCTTGCTTCCCAATACAAACTTTCATCCCCATTTTTACCCCCTTAAGGGATCATTTCCGGGATAAAAAGTATCCTATGTCCGTCCCAGGGTCTCAAACTATCCAGAGATTACCCCCTACAACGTCACAAACTTTACCTCTTTATAATATTAGTATAGAAAAGGAAAACCACAAAGCCATTCGTTAGCTTATTTAACAGACTTCACAAAAGAGGTTATAGCTTCAATTCCATTTGTCTGCCTTTTTGTGGGTGATTTTTCAATAAATAACTAATATCCACCTAGATGATTTAATTTACGATCATTTTTTGGATTCTATACCCAAAAGCCAAAACCCGCATCCTTATAAATTCGTCATGTTCGTCTGTTCGTTTGTCCGTATGTCACAGTCATTTTACTTGGACACTATTCGTTGTAATATTTCTGGATGATATTTTGTTATTTCACATGCGAAAGGTATTATAATAGCAGTAAATTATAATAGCAAATAAGGCTTCAATTACTATCATATTACATCATTTCATACAATTATTCTTCAAGCTCGTCTTTTTTATTCTTTTAGCTCAAGACTAAAACACATACATATAATCAAAATTATTTAAGAATCATACACTTATATCATACAATGTTAAGTTTTGAAAGCAACATCCACAATTTCTTGCAATAATTTATATAATTAAACATTTATTTTATACACACAAAAAAAATATTTGATAATTACAATAAATATATTTATATACAACTTCATCCCATATAGAAAACAACTACATCAAGATAATAAAATAGAATACATAATTTTATTCTATACTATTCTTTTATATATATCGATCCAAAAAGTACTAGATACACAATCCCATGTAAAACTTCTTATAAAACTGTCACCAATTGTGTTTAGGTAATTATTCTAGTTGAAATAAATATACAACAATGTAAACTGAACATTAAATGCAACGCTTAAAGTTGTTTTCACAAAAAAATAAATTTCCAAAAAAGCGCTTTTCTGTGAGAACATTTTTTGTCGCTGTTTGTATCTAGTACTTTTTTAATCGATATTCATATTATATACAAACATTGAAGTACTCACAGAAGGCATTTTCATAATATTGTTTGTGCCTTTATATTTTCTAGCCTACATTAAAAAAAATGGGATTTTTTCGCGGATTTATATTGATTTTTGGTTCTCGACATTTCGGATGCTTAATAGTTTTATTTATTTAAAATGTCAAATATTCGCGTAAATCTAAGAAAATATTAAATAAATATTATTGAAACATGAGTTCCGACTTTATTTTGTAGTTCGTATTTTTTAAAAAAGATACACAAACCTTTGTACCATATAAGATCATACACCCCTTTCACTTGTATGTATGTAATTTTTATTTGTTACATCTTTTGAACATTTTCACTTCTAGAAGAGGTTTTTTAGTTCATTTATGGAGGGTAGAGATTAAGGAGAACAGTCTCTGTGATGAAAAAGTGTCCGTCGAAATTAGGGTGGCGCCACGGTAGCAAGTAGGTACATTTTGAAAAAAGTACATAAAAATAAATCACTCTCTACGTTTATATCACCACAGTTTTTTTCAGTTATATTTAATAAATTATTATGGACTAATAAAATGAAAAAAATCGATATTATAGGAACAGGTCATCACCTGTCAGAACTCATTATTCATCCTGCAATAACCGAAACAATAATTTAAAAACCTAGCCATACAATATCAAAATTAACTTTTCACTATAAGTAATAAGCCAAATAAAATTATTATCATGACTGCCAACACTATTATGCAGTGCATTTTTCTGTTTTTCCTTTGATATCTCTCCGCCTTCTGTAACTGTTTGAAGCCTTCTTGCACTTGATATTGTGTTTGTTCTATATTATAGTCTATCCGGTCCAATATGGTACCTTGATCATGGACCATGTTACCTAAATCTTTGAAAATTTCATTTAAATCCCTTATAGACTTGACTATTTTGCTAACTTCTTCGTCCCTTTCTTGTATCATTTTTGTATTTTCCTCTTGCATAATCAATAGTTGCTTATGAATCATCGTTGGCTTCTCAAACATATCATCCAAGTCTTCATCAAGATTTTGACTTGTACTCGGTAGAGAGAACAGTAGATCTGTCTGATTGTTTGTGAATCCCGGTAACAGTTCATCTTGGAGACTCAACTCTTCAAAGTTGGGTAAATCGAAGTATGCATTTGATCTTTCCTCTCTGGATGTGATGGACTTGAGGTAGTTAGATTGGGAGGTACGGAATGTAACACTTAAGTCTTGGAGAGTGGATACTAAAGCTAATACTACATTGGAAGCTAATTTTTGTTCGGTTTTGTTACCTGGAATAATGTATGTTTTATCATATTTTAGATTGCCTTTCAAAATAAAACATATAGTCAAATTTATATAAAAGTAGCAGACTCGGCCACGCGTTGCTGTAGCACTCATTTGGAAATAGTTAATTTTGCAGTAACAAAAGCAAATAATCAGGATAAAAACTATCCTATCTTTTAAGTTGGATCAAATCACACATTTTGAAATAAAATTACGTTAAGATCGGATAAGTAGTTTCTGAGTTCATCGCGGACCAAGATCGTGACAGTAGAATTTTATATATTTATTAAGATATAACACTTACAGAGAAAAATACCTAAATTAAACAAATAACAATAAACTTATTAAAACTTAAAATTAACTTCCTATAAAGAAAAAAATATCATACAGAGCCATAATAATACAGAAGTGTAAAATTCTAAAAAATAAAACCTAAAACTCATAAGTTAGCGATCTTTCGCTATTTACAAATTTTAACTATTTAACTCCTATAAAAAATCTTAGAACATATCTGCTAAAAGTAAATACTGCTTGCAGATTTCCTTATAAAACAAAAAAAAAATTTAACTCCTACAATATAGAGACTTAAGAATATTGTTGATAATTTAGATTGTTAACTCTGTAAAAACGCGACATAGCACTAACAATACCCACAGTTGATGATGCAAGAAATACAGTTAATTTTTGAAATTTAAATGATATAAAGTGTAAAAATATGCACTGTAAGTAACAATAATTATCCTTTAAGATTTTTATGAGATATTAGGAAAATTATTTTTGAAACTTACTTAACTAAAATTAAGTGTCAAGAAATGAATTATGAAATAATGTGAAAGTATTTTCCCATCAAGAGAGACAAAAAAAATTAACTTTTCTATATTTTTTAAATAAATTTGCCTCACCATGTCTAATTTGACCCTTTATTGCTGTCAACCTCGCATGGGCTTGAGTGAAGTGCTTCCCTATCTCTGCACACAGTCTGTCTATATGTTGTTGGTCTCCACTGTCATCTAACGCAGGCCTTTTTATTTGACGTTCTTGGTGTGTTTGAAGCTCTGATAGTTTAGTTCTTAGTCTAAAAGCAGATACAAAACTTTAAAATAAAAATAAAACCTTAATTAAAATGATCATAAAGACTATAACAACATAAAACACTGTCATCAATTAGAAATTAAAATTATTAAATCTTTATGAAAAGTTCATTGAAATCGTTTGATCTGTTCACAATGCTATAATTCTTCAAAATAAATTAAATATTTCTTGTTTTTCATTGCAGATTACAAAAGAACATTATTGACTTAAAAATAGACATAAGAATCTATTATTTCACATTCAAAGTGTCTCAATTACTTGAAAAATAACAATAAAGCAATACAAAAGATTGATGTACTAACCTAGTAATAATATAGTGTGCTTCTTCCAAGCAATCACTCCAGGGTGGCGGTGTGACTTCAGACCTATCTAACCCAATTTCTAAGTCATGTGTGTTAGATCTTGTTAGCCTAACTCTCTCTGAATCGTTTCCCTGGAAAATAAATTTTACTTCATATAGTAACTTCTTTCTTAATGATTTATATTTTTTTCCTATTTTGTGGCCAACTTTATTATTCTGATTGAAGCAATTCTATTATTTTTTAAATTTATATTATTCTAGTAAATGTAATAGATCATATAATAGTAACTAATAATATTAAAACATTGTTCTTTTTTCTTCAATTTAATTAAAAGTTAAGGTATTTATGGTTTTCGTAATAACATAAAATATTCTTATGAAATACAATCTATGTAAAATATGTGGTTAAAGTTTTCATGTTAAATACGAATAGTTTTATTTATAAACAAAGCAAATAGCGAATTTTATAACATTACGATGCGCGAATGCGATCGTCAATCTTAATCAATAAGTGTTTTATTACCTGTTCTGAAAATAATTGCCGGCTGTGTATTGCATTATTGCGCATCAACACAAACACTTCTGTTAAACTCCGTGACACCATTTTATATGAAAATAAAACTAGTGGGGAATAATAAATAAAATAATTAGTAAATACTAAGAGTTCTGTTGATTTTTTGCTCTTGCTTGGTAGTCAATATGTCATTTTGACAAAAAAGACACTGACACTTGACAACTACAGTATCAATGTCGGATACTTTTACAATGATATTTATATAACGCTCTAATGTAAGACACTGAAGAAAAAAAATACAATGATATTTACTTTAGATATGTTGAAAATTATATTTTACTTAATTGCATAATGGACCTCCTATAAAATTAAAACAATATAAGACATTTTTACCGATATAAATTTAAGAAAAATTAATTATGTTAGGTAGTTTTTTATTTGGCTGTATAAAACTAAGAGTAAGACCTGAATGAATATTTTGTATTTGATTTGCAAATTGAAAATGCAAATTTCATCTGTCAAAATTTGAAAGACAGGTTATGTTTATTTTAACTTTGCCGGGTTTGAAATAAAACTTTATTAGTTTTTTTTTTAACTATCATAATTTTACAGTAAAAAGTATAAATATTGTTTTAGTTTTAAGTATAAATATTATATTGCCTTCAAATGAGTATGCCACCTAACGATCCCGGGCCGGAACAGTTTCAACAGTTTCCATCAAATAGGATTATTGTGATCCATCCTGGATCTCTTTATGTGAGAATAGGACGAGCATCTGATTTGTTACCAGTCAAACAACTACACTGTATAGCAAGGAAGAGAAGACCTGGAGGTAAAATCTACAGGGACCCATTCATACCACCAAGTGTGCCAAAAACTAAAGAATTAATAGAAGAATTAGAAGAATGTCGGTTACAAATATCACATACGTTACAATCTTGCATGCAGTCAAATGGAGCTCGAAGATATGCAACACCACCACAACAAATTGCTGCTTTCAACCGCCGATCACTACCAGAAGCTGTTAATGACGGAGAACCGTGGCCTCAAGTGCAATGTGAAATCGTTATTGGTGATCTTGTACTAGACATTGATCCTGAGCTACCTTACAATATACATTTCCCTTTTAGAAGAGGTGACTTTAATTTACATTCAGAAGTAGGGGGCTCTATTTCATCAGTTTTAAATGATTTGTATACAATTTGGAGCTCAATAATAGAATATAAGCTGGGTATACCTCTTATAGAGCTTGTCAAGTACCGTTGTGTATTATTAATACCAGATATATATACCAGAAGTCATTTAAAATATCTTACTTCATTGCTACTAAAAGATTTAGGTTTTGGACATTGTTTTCTGGTCCAAGAGAGTGTTGGTGCCACTTTTGGAGCTGGTATTGGTTCTGCATGTGTTGTTGATATTGGTGACCAGAAAACTGCTATTTCATGTGTTGAAGATGGAATCTCTCATAAAATAACTAGGTTAAGAATGGACTATGGAGCTGGTGATGTGTGTCAAGCATTATCCTGGATGTTCCATAAAAGTGCTTTTCCTTACAAAAACTGGACTGAAAATGTACCCAGAGATGTCATTCTCATGAGAAATCTCTATCAAGATTTCTGTCATGTAAACTTAGATGTTTGTGGACCGCAAGAAAAAACCTTTTTAGTAGATCATCCAGGTGATATTGTTAATAAATATACATTACAAGTAGGTGATGAATGCATTATCTCGCCACTGTCATTATTTTACACAGATTTACTTAAAATAACAGGCCCAAAGGCTACAAAAATTCAAAACAGACAACCTAGTGATGCTGAAGATCCATTCGATGCGGAGTTCTTAAGAGAAACAGGTAGAAAGCGAGAAGCTGCTGATGCTACAACTACTGAAAGCCAACAATTTGAAGGGGCAAATGAAAGTCAACCAACTACAAATCCAGATGAAGATATAGTAGTGGATACATTAGAAGGTGGCCCCGGAGAAGTGTCTTTAGCACCAGGTCAAGTACTAAGTCTAGATGCAGCAATACTACAGAGTATTGACAGATGTCCGAGTGAAGAGTTAAAACGTAAAATGTACAGTAGCATTTTGATTATTGGTGGAGGTGTTAAAGTCCATGGACTAAATTTATGGTTACAAAATAGATTAGCTTTACAAATTCCCTATACTTATAAGACTGAACAGTTAGAAATAGTTACTTCACCTAAGGATATTGATCCAGCGAGCACTGTATGGAAGGGTGCTGCCGTCATGTCCTGTTTGGAATCGGCCATGGAACTTTGGATCAATCAAAGAGAATGGAACAGATATGGATTGAAAATTCTAAGAGAAAGAGCTCCATTTATTTGGTGAGAATAAATTTAACTCAACAAATTCTCTATAGAAAGATGTATGTTGACTCCAAGTTCCAACTCGGCTTGATCACCTTGGCTTGCCAAGGTCTATTTGACTTTCATATGAAAACAATATACCTAGTTATATACAATACAGACTATTTAGGAAAACATCTGGAAAAACAGTAAAACACAAATAATTGTACAAAAATATTTATTATATAGACATACTTAATTGCTAATTTGGCAAAAATAACAAATTTTCATACAAGAGATTCACTTATTTTCTTAATATGTATGTATATATATTACCTACTTGTATTTAACAAACTAGTTAATGTATTTGAGTGCTTGACACTCTAAAATTAATCTTATCAAAAATCTTTAATAAACTGTGATTCAATTGGTACATTTAAATGCAGAATAATTTGCAGAGAACACAGTTCTAACACAGTATTTAAAACATCCATACAGTATGTCACTTTAGTGCTTATTAATTGTTCAAACGACCAATACTTATTGTACTTTATAGTTGAGAGATTTTTCCTCAAATTTTAATTTCTAAGATTTGTTACATATTATGTATGTAGGTAAAATACATATTTTCGGTTATTAAAGTAAAATGTGTATTTAATACCAATAGAATGGACATGTAAAAGTCAAAAATTCTGTATTACAAACGCCTTTCTGTAAATTGGTCGTTTGGACAAATAAGCACTAAGGCGGCGAATATTCGATCTCCTTTGATTTTAACTGAAACTCTGACAAAATATGTAAGGGTTGTCAACAAAAGTACCATTTTTCTTGGTTTTTAAGTTACACTGTGCCATCTCGTGGTAAAATAGTTATATATGCCAAACCTAAAGCAGTTTCACCCAACTGTCATACAAAAATTTTGGACACACGTTTGTAACAAAATAACTTATGCCAGTCGGGAGCACCGCCGCCCGCCCCCGCACTATTGCCCAAACTAGATGTCATTGTTAGACTACTGTATGGATGGGTAGACTGGTTTTAACATGTATTAACAATATTTTGACACTGGGTTGGTAAAATTTGGCGTTACTATTTATTTAATTATTATTAATATATATTAATTATATTTAAAAAAAAAATTAAATTTGAGTATTAGTTCTCGAATTGTCAGATCAAAATTCAATGAAGTTGGCTAAGTAATATCTAAAATTACGTACTGTATGTATTAATATATTACATTGTATATAAAATTATTAAACTTCAAGTGAAATCAGTCTTGTTTCATTAAGTATTTATTATTATAGTACATAATACAAAAGTTGAGACCTACTATGTGTACTACATATAAATATTAGTTTTGAGCATTCTTTCACTTTTTCTATACATTATCTATACTAATTATAAAGTACATTATAAATTATTAATATAAAAATTAAAAAAATTGTATAGATATAAGTACAAAATTGTATACACGATATAAAAGTAAATGTTTTTGAATACTATATTGTGGAAGTCATAAGACATTACAGTTGACATAAGAATTTGATCTTCCACTACGTTACAGTAAAATGCACATTTTAAAATAACTTTACCTTTTAAAAAAATAACTTAATGACTATTAATAATGAGATATTTAATATATTTATATTTGCTATGGGAGAAGATTGGCAACATCTGTAAAACTTTTTCACTAGTAATATAATACATGGTCTAAACGAGAAAGTCGAAACAAGTCACATTTAATCGAACCCGCGACCGTCTAACATAAAACAGTAAATATTAACTAAATTCGATATCGTCGTTACGCTTGAAAGATACCATCACATCACTCACAGCACAAGTCTTTGGATGAAAAAACCCATAGTATAACACCATGAAGACCAATCCAAGTATAAAAGGTAATATGCCAAGAGCTAAGAATGGATAAAAATATAAAGACATTCTAATTTCCCTGTCAGCATATAAATACCAAAGAGCACTACAAATTATATTTTGTATAAAACATATAGAATAATATACAGTGTAGCGGTACCTTGTTTTGCCTTCAATAGGTAGTATGTAGGTGAAGAGATAGACTCCTCCGAGTGTGCATGAAAAAGCCACTTCACACAGTTTGTTTTGTGAACAGAATGGTGGTTTATCGAAGAACTGGAGCCATGAGGTCATGATGAGGATGTGGACACAGCAGGCCAGCACCGTCCAGTAAGGGTACAGGTATGCTATTATTGATATGGATGTTATTCGACTTACTACAAAAGAAAATAGTTAAAGTTGAAATTCTGCCATTTTTTTATGGTAACATATTTTTAATACGAGAAAACAAGACTAAATGGTTAGAACAAAATAAATATACCTACCAAAACTAATATTATAAAGAGGTAAAGTGACGACATGTTTGGCTCGGCTTGTAGTGACCTTATTTGTGTGATGAGCACGAGTGTTTGTACTCCAGTCATGGGTGTTTATATTTATAATATGTATGTATTTAAAGTTATATATGTGTAGTGTATCAACTATCTGTATCCATAACACAAGCCTCGTAGCTTACAAGTTACAATGGAACTAGATGGTGTTGTGTGTAAATGTCATAACATATATTTAATATATAAAGTTTAACATTATCTCATTTTACCTAAAATTAAAAACAAAGTTTATTAACGGTGACGTTAAGTCGAAAGTCTACATAAATAAAATAAATGTTCGTATGTTTGTCCTCTATGCGTTCCTAAGGCCATAGGAGTAGATTGTGCTGTGTGGTAATGTCCGAACATATTTATTTATAATATCATTCTAAAAGTTTGTAAGTTTGAATGCAGGAGGTAATATCTGAAATTACCGATCTGATTCTGAAATTTTACTTTACTAATAGGAAGCTATAGTTTATAGGCAATTTTTTATTTCGATAAAATATGTTTACTGCCAGAAATCATAATAATTTTAACTAAAATAGGAAAGAAAGCGACTCACTCTCACTTCGGTCGAGTTTATCCCTAGCTTGCTTCCCAACACAAACTTTTATCCCTATTTTCATCTCCTTTAGGGATGATTTCCGGGATAAAAAGTCTATCCTATGTCCTTTCCAGGGTCTCAAACTATCTTCTTACCAAATTTCACCTAAATCGGTTCAGTAGATACAGAGATTACCCCTACAAAATCACAAACTTTACCTCTTCATAATATTAGTGTAAGATTATAACGCGAGCGAAGCTATAGTAAGCCACTGGCTTTAAATTAAACTCAAATTTAGTCACGGTTTCGCATCTACAAATTAATCAGTCGCCAGTATAAAAGTGAACTCACAAGTAACTAGGAAGTGCCAGGCGAGCTGCAAGATGGTGCCGCACCAGCTCATGTTGGCCTTGTCCTGGGCGAAGCGCACCGCGCGCTGGTACGCCGCCAGGCACCACCCCATGCCCACGATGGAGGAGCTGATCGACAGCATCTGGTGCACTGTGCAGTCACCCAAGCATCACATATCTATCTTTGGTTGTCCTTACTAGCGATAGGATTTGACATGATTTGTAATAATAATGTCCTTTAGACGGATTTCGGTCATGGCGGCCAATCTCACTGAGACGCCATCTCAGCAGGATATATTATGCATAGAGGTCAAGTGTGGGTCAGAGTTTACTTTTGCTAGATCCTCGAGGTTCAGAAGTGAATCACTGTCGACTTCCCAACTTAAAGTCGTTATTGCGAATTTCTTGACAGAAAGCTTAATAATATGGCCTGATCCGGGACTCGAACTCAGAACCAGATCTACATGCTATGGTCTAATACCATTGAGGCAGTTGTGCATAATTGGTATAGAACTTACGTCAAATCCCCATTTCTACGAGTAGTAAGGGAGACTTCAAACTTAAAGGTTTTTGAGAGCGGCCGTTAGTCAGTTACGACTGAAGTAATAAGACGAGTGTTAGTATATCTTTTTATTTCAATTGTATATAATTAATGTGTAAAAATGATAAAAATTATGAATATAAATGAAAGTAAATATGAAACTTCATTTACACATCTTAGTGTAAATTTCAGTAAGATAAGCCACCACGACCGAACTTCAATCGGGAGACTTCTATACAAACATACATAGGTTTTCAAAGTCATTTTAATATAATTATATAATTAATTTTGTTGGTTGTATATTACATAAATAATGAAAGATTCAATTAGTGATTTTTGGTCCAAAAGCTCACCTGCCAGGTGGTCATACTGTCGCAACAACAAGGTAGTCTGCAGCACCTGCTGGGGGGCGGCCTCGAGGAAGCACTCGAAGATCCTCAACAATGCCGCGTCCGAGTCCTCCTTGAGCATGAGCCCGTAGTACATGCGCTGTGAGGTCGGGTCCTTCTTACGTTCAGCTCGGCGAGACTTTATAGCGTAACTGAGAATCGTATTCTAAACATAAAGTCCACTTCACAGATTTGGACTACGGCGGCCAATCTCACTGAGACTAGCCAACTACGCAGGAGATAATATAGTACAGATATTAAAATGCCTCGGTAGTGTAGTAGCTAGCATGTACGGCTGCACACCTAGAGGTCCTTAATTCAGGACCGACGACTTCACGTACTCTCCGAGGCACGGAAATGACACCGCCAACTTCCCATCTCCGGGCTATTACTGAGGATTTCTTAACATAAAAACTCTACAACTTGGCCCGACCTCGAGACTTGAACTCAGGTCCTCCAGATTTGGAGCCGTGCCTAGCCACTAGACCACTGATGATATACATACTGCCTACTGGTAATATAAACATAGAAAGTTGTTGTTACTCCTAACGCTCTGAAGACTTACAAGGATTTGAGAAAAAATCGGAATAAATATCGGACTAATTTTATAAATGCTTGATTTGCATGTGTGTGTATGTTGGTCCTTCATGTTGAAACCTCTAGATGGACTTGGATGAAATTCACCCACGACCGCTGGCACAGCAAGTAAGGTTACTACAAACCGAGCCAAACGATTGGTCTATTAAAAAGGTATTATTATATTCATCTATATTCATATAACATTAAAAAAAAACTTTGCCTCATAAAAATCTTATCGTCACAGATAAAACATTACTTAATGTAAATATATGCCCCATAAAGGGACTCTTTGCACAAAGACCTAATTTATATATTATCAGTTTTAAATAAACAGTTATTATGAAACAATATCGCAATAAAATGTTGCTTCTAATGAGATAAGGCACTGGTCATACAACAAAAGAGCTTTATAATATGAATTACGCATATTATAATGCGAAAATAACAAATGATAAAGGACTATTCTCATTAAACTGTAGTAAAATAATTCTCAATGCAATTAAAAAAATAATTTACATATAAGGAAAATATATTAAGAAAAATTTGTTTATTATAATAAACATTGTTATGTAGCCTATGTTATGTAAGCAAACAGAAACAATATTTAAAACTAGCGACTCACTCTCGCTTCAATTGGGTTAGTTCCTAGGTATGTTTTAACGGTTAGTATGGAATAGAAAAACTCTGTGAAAAACAAAAACAAATCTATCCCAAGGGAACTGAACATTTTCCAGGATAAAAAGTAACCTATGTGCGATTCTCGACTATAATCTATCTCTGTGCCAAATTTCAGCCAGATCCGTTCAGTCTTGATTGAGTAACAAGCATCCATCCATTTCCACTTTCATATTTATAATATTATATTAAATAATAATCGGATTTGTCTGCATCAAACCATAATACTTAGATTTATGTAAATATTTAACATTTTCTAAAACTACCTTTTGGATTTTTCATGAAAAAATCAGAAAAGATAGTTTTATTTAAAATCCATCAAATCAATATTTAATCATCTTCATAGTTTATCCTGAGGTTGAAAGAGCTTTAAGCTTTGGTATTTTCTTAGATTTAGTTCATACTCAAAGTGTAGCTCATAAAAAAATATTAATAGTCGATGTCATATAAAAAGCTGCATACTATGAAAACTTAAAATAGCTTTAGATCTTGGAGGAGTGAGAAATTATGATTACACATGTATACTGTTTTCTTGTTGCTATTTGAAATATAGTATACCTTTATATTTTATTTCTTTTTTAAAGATACAATTATATGCACAACAAAAATATTAAATGTATTTAATTATTACAAGTATAATAAAGTCATTTTATACTCACATAAGAGCATCTGTAAAACGCAAAATTGGTGCCATTTGCAACACCAATATAAATATCCTTAACCATTTTCTTTTTGTGAATTCATTTGATATTGAATCTTGTTCTTTATCTTGGGAATACCTAAAGAACACAATTAATATATGTAAAAAGAAATATTATTAATATATTTAACAAATAGCCACATTAATGTACGAAAAATACATTAATCTAGATTGGCAAAAGTGAATCTACATACATGCTAATACAAAGTATATAAATTACTTTAAACAATCTTATACAGATAATAACTTTGGTTACATCAGATTACTAAACCTTAAGTTTTGAAAGGTTAAAGTTTCAAAACTCTGTTATAACCAAAACTTTAATAATCAAAGTATGTACAGCAAGGCTTTGACCTAGAATTTATTGTAGACTTATGTAGCACATAATAATATTTGCCAGTAGAATCTAAAATTAGGTTTCAGAACATGAATTCTAGCTACAGTTTTTTTTGGAAATAAGTGTGACTCAGTTTTCAGTTATAAATAGTGTTCTTTGATTCTCAGTGTGTTAAAAACTGATGTCATTCTTTAAATAACAAGGATTACTTACATGCGTATCGAAACGGCAGTATTCACAAATGCTGGTAACAAAATAAATACTAAAGTCCATCCAAATTCCAACATTTTTCTTGACAATGAATATCGTACTGCTATATTTATATCCAGGCCTAAATCCACAAAATGCCCAACAATAGCAACAATATACATAATTAAATCTAAATTTGTAATTGTTATATTTTTTGGTATTCGATCGGGTTCATCGTGAGAATAACCATTTTCCAGCATCTTTCTTACAGCTTTCGGCATTTTTATTTTTTAACAAAACCAACCGTCACAAAATACACAACATTTTAATTCGGCGGTCGCGCGTTTCTTGCTTTTTGTTTAGAAACATCTGTCAATTTTCAAGTTTGTCATTTGGCAGTGGCATTTGCCAATGGCAATAGCCAATGAGGAACTTATTTTCAAAGACCTATTTGCTTTGAACCCTAGTAGATTTGCTTACTATTATGCTCAAGAATAGTATGGTAATGAATAGGCAGTTTTATAAATAAATTATTATAAAACAAATTATTATTATGAACGCAAAGCTCGTTATGCTCATGCTACAACTTAAATTAATATTCATCATAAAATAATATTAAGATGTAAGACTATTTGTAAAAATTTATGTTAGAAATGAAAACTATATATTGATTAAATAAGTAAGCTAATTAGATAATTGTAATTAAAAAATATCTTCAATAGATTCGTATCGGAGAACTATTATTCTTACTACCTAAATGATTACGATCTGATTTCTGTGCAAACCCGATAATTAAGCATTATAATTTGTACTAGCATTGAGCCGCGGCTCCGACCGCGTTCAATGACCGAAAATCAAGTTTTTAGGTTTTACATATTAGTATACTCTTATATTGCAGTTTTTGTATTTTTCTCAAAAATGAGATAATTTTCCGCGGTAAAAAGTATCCAATAAGTTGATCCGGATGACTAGCTATCATCATATCAAAGGGTCTAGCCGTACTTCCATGGCAAAAGTGCCCCCGATAGCAACCTATATCGTAACCATTGTTATATTGTAGAGGACACTAATATTAATCTATAAAATAAACTATAAAGCTTAGTATAACACTTACATTTTATTTTATTTTGCTAGCTTTGAAATTAACTAAGATATATCGCTTTTGAAAAAAAGTCGTCTCCGGACAATTTTTTTTCAAATACCTCCTCAATTAACTAAGAGATAGATCTAATATTTACTGGATCTATTACTATTAGTGTCCTCTACAATATAACATTGGTTACGATATAGGTTCCTACCGGGGGCACTTTCGCCATGGAAGTATGTCTAGACCCTTTCATCAAAATCTGTCCAGTGGTTTTCTCGTGATGCGTTAACAGACAGACAGACAGACAGACAGACAGACAGACAAAAATTCTAAAAACTGTAGATTCGGCCTCTGTATTTTTTTTATGGGACTAAGGGGGCAAACGGGCAGGAGGCTCACCTGAAGAAGTGATTACCGCCGCCCATGGACATCTGCAACACCGCAGAGCTTGCAGATGCGTTGCCGGCCTTTAAGAAAGCAATAAGCTCTCTTCTTGAAGGCGGCCAGGTCGTAGCGGTTCGGAAAAACCGCCGGCGATAGCTGGTTCCACAGAGTGGTTGTGCGGGGCAGAAAATGCCTTGAAAATCGCACTGTTGTGTTGTGGTGTGGATGAATTTAATATTTTGGCGCGATGTCCGGTGATAAAATTCAGCAGCCGGGATCAGTGCGAACAATTCCTCGGAACACTTCCCGTGATAAATGCGGTAGAAGATGCAGAGTGATCCAACATCTCTACGCAGAGCTAAAGGATCAAGCCGATCGGAGAGAGCTTGATCGTCGATAACTTGAGCCGCCCTACGTTGAATGCGGTCAAATGGAAGTAGCTGGTACTGGGGAGCTCCCGCCCAAAGATGAGAACAGTACTCCATGTGGGGCCGAATTTGCGCCTTATAAAAAATAAGACGCTGACGCGACGTGAAGTACTGTCTCGCCTTGCTGACCCAAAGCTGACACCAAGCTTCTTTGAAGCCAGTTTGGCCTTACCTTCCAATTGACCACAGAACTGGACGTTGCTCGAGATGTCAACGCCAAATATTCCGATACTGGCTGCGGGAGACAGAGAAGTGACCTCAAATTGAGGAGTTACGATAAATGGCGACTTTTTATCGGTTAACGCGCAAACTTGTGTCTTTTTGGGGTTGAATTGGACTAAGTTTAGTCGACCCCAATCCGAGACTTTGGTTAACAAAGATTCGACTTCAGACACAAGTTTGTTCCGGCTCTCGTCGACGTATTCCCGAGAAATATTAGCGCTTTATCTATAATAATGTCTATTTCAATAAGATTTTTCAAAAAAAAAATTTACAGATTCGACTTAGTTACATGTTTATTATATGTATAGATGAAAGTTATGTATATCTAATGTGATGCTAACAATAGAAATAGAAGCTTAATCTCATAATATTACAGTATCGATAGTTTAACAGAAGTTTGGTTGCACCGCAATTGTGATCCAAAATGCTTTAATTATTTTAATTGGTAATTAAAACACAATTTATACTGTTAGTTTTAATGAACACGTTAATAATATCAAAACGATTATACATTTTATATTAGGTACATTTTATATAGGCTTACATTATTCACATTACTAACAGTCAATCAACTATACTTTTCCTTAAGAAAACCAACCAGTAAGCTCCATTTTTTTGGAAATAGTAGCTCTCTGCTGCTCCTCCATTTATCCCTTATTAGATCGTGTATAGATGCGTTCACAATTTTTAGGTATCCACATTTTTCTGCAATAATAATATATCCATATATATTTTATTAGTTTCCCTTTAACTAATTTAGGAAAATAAACTGAAAGTGTTGAAGTCAGGCAGAAGTGAGGCGGCCGGTCGTAAAACTTTTGCCAAATCCTTTCAAAAGAACAGAAGATGTACTGCGCCGACCCCAAGTGATTGGGAAATGGGCAGGGAGAAGAAGAAGAAACTGAAAGTGTACCTATGTATTTGATTTCTTTAGTTAAAAAAAAAGAAATCAAATGATTCTAAGCAAAAATTACAAAGCAATGTCCTAAATATGTCTATAATCTTTCAATTGTGAATCGTATAAGTAGATACTTGTATCATATCTATACAATTATCATAGAAATTTTGTCTGATATTAAATAAAGAAAATATTAGCAAACTAAATATTGTTAAATTCAAGAAAATGTTGTGATCGCGTAATCGGACTCTTAATATTGTATATCGAAAGCTTCTATGTGTGTACATTTATTACTCCTTAACGCTGAAAGTTCTGGGCAGATTTAGATGAAATTTTGTATAGATTATACTAGACTATGACCTGGAGAAACATATAGGCTTCTGTTTAACACCTAGGGAGTAGGCATGCACCTGACTCCGGCGAACCGAGGATATGTTGCTAGTAATGAATAAAATTATAGTGATTAACATACCCGTGTAAGGGTCTACAATTAACTGCTCGTAGAAGTGAGGCACAAAATCGTTCAAGCACACTTGTACATTGTATAGTGAAGTGTTCATAGCTCGCGCATGCTGCCTCGTCTTGATCTCCACGATGGACACCAGACTATCTTGCATAGTTTCATTAAAGCTTTTAAAAACAAACTGTTTATTACTCAAATCTTACTAAGAAAGAAATGATGTACCTACTAAAATAATTGACTATTTTTAGGCTCTGTTTTGCTATATCGATCTTCTCAAAGTATTTTACAACAAACGTCTTATTTGTTATATTTGTTGGATAGTAAGTTTCTTTCCAGTTGTCTCGTTTACAGATAAAGCTTTTCGCAATAGATAATAATTTTTTTTTATTTCGGACATTCACTAGTGCAAAAGAATGAAAAAGCTTACAGAACGGCTTGATGCAGAATACAATGCGCAGCTGCAACTTCATCCGGCAGTTCGTTTATACACTTGTTCACTGTTTCGAAGTGTCGCACATCTTGAAAATTCTTTATTACATTATGAAACTGGTCCCGGATGTGAGCTATCTTTTCGATAGGGTCAATTAGACAGGTTTCGATTATGTCTATCATCTGGAAGAATGCTCTAATAAATACCTACCAAATACATATTCTACGTAATTATTAATTAAAAATCTTCAGACATCCAATTATGGAAATGAAGTTTCTATAAGAAACCAGCATAATCCAATAATATGTCAGTAAATGTACATTAACACACAAGACCACCTAGTTCCATGGTAAGCTAGCGAGGCTTGTGTTATGGATACCAGATAGTTGATACATTATACATATATAATTTTAAATACATACAATTAGAAATATAAACACCCATGACTGGAGTACAAACATTCGTGCTCATCACACAAATGAATGCCCCCAGCAGAATCGAACCCGCAACCGCGACCGCGACCTGGCGCAGCAAGTAAGGTCACTATAAACTGAGCTAAACGTGTCGTCAAAATCAAAACAAATTACAAAACAATAACAAACCTCTTCCAAACTAATGACATAATTCGTGAAATCATGGAAGTATTTGATCTTATAGAACTTTATAACTGCACTCCTCAATTCCTTAGCCATTTCTTTGTTCATAATATGAGCCAAGTCCAAGAACGTGTCCATTACGTGCAGTGACATATTCTTCAAGCTGTCGTAGTTTGCCCGACTTTTAATGAAGAGAGTTCGTGCCACGTCGTACGCTTCAGTCACTAAATGATTCTTCCTATCAATATCTGGGATTGAATTTGAGCACTACAAAGAAGTTTAAGTAAGCCTTGGGACATAAGTTTTTCATAAGATTAAGATAATGATTACTGTCGCATACATAAAGATGATTTATAACATTGTTACTGATATTTAAGCAGATTAGAGCAAATAATCTCATTAATTCATATCTATACTAATATTATAAATGTGAAAGTTTCTGAGTATGGATGTATGGATGTTTGTTACAATTTCACGCCAGAACAGCTGAACGGATCTGAATGAAATTTGGAACAGAGGTATAATTCATAGGTTACTTTTTAACCGGAAAATGTACAGTTCCCGTGGGATAGTTTTATATTTGTTTTCCTAGAGGCGAAGCCGAGCGAAGCGAGGGAGAGTCACTAGAAATTCATACATGCTTCACAACGATTTACCTCTTTAAAATATAATAATAATGTTACTACAAAAATCACTGTATATCTTAGTGCCATTGAACAAAGCATCACAAAATCCTAAACACTACGAGACTTGGCAATTTTTTCTTTAAACACGTGTTTACAAATAAATTAACAAAATCAAATAGAGAATCAACTTCATGTTTGAAATATTTCTGATTATAGTTTTTACGAGCTAGGAGTACCATGCTGTTTTTATGTCCTCACGCACTTTTCCTTTCAAGAACGACAGAAGACCCTTATCTATTAAATTCTCATATTTTACAGCCGCTATAACTAAATAAACAATGTTTTATTAACCTTTAATATATTAATTATTCATTACATGCTGTTTTTCCACATGGCATCTACTTTTAATTTTATTGTTTGATCAACAATAAGGTATAACTATGTGTAATAGTCCTGGGTTTGAGTCCAAGTGTGGACCAAGTAGTGTTGTGGACCAAGTATAGTTACTGGGATTTTCTGTCAAGAACGTAGTTACGAATGTTAATGAAATTGGTCGCCGTGGTTGAAACTCGTCCAGAGAATATCATTAGATTTAGCTTTACGCTACGTGGTTGTTAGTTGTCATTTTTATTCTTATTTACACTTTAATCCAAATAGTAAGGTAATAACAATATTCAAACTTTTATCTTTTTCAAGACGAACAACCGAATAAACAGTCCTTAAATCTAATTTAATGGTCACCCTAACATTTTTAATGAAAAATAACTTTTACAATCGCTATATTTTCTATCCAATTTAATTTTACGTTAAAATACTACGAGTATGTGTAAGTGCGTACAACTTCGGACACGTGATTCAGATTTTCTTATCACAGATGAATATTATGAATATTACTGTAACATGGCATACCTATATATTTATTTCAATTTTTTCTTGTCACAAGTTCTGATCTTTATTATGAAATTGTCAACGTTCATCCTTGTTATTAGAACGTTTTAGATTTATCCAAAAAACATAAATTGATAAAACGTAGTGGTTACATTCTCTTTGGATTGATCAAGTTTTCGGTTCTATATTAAACTATACCTGACCGACAGATATTGTCCCTTTTTTAAGCCTTGGGTAATGCATTAATGCATACCACGTGCATATATACAGATAGTGGGACTAACCGGCTAGAAAAGCCTGAAGACTCTATAATGGTAAGAGAGGCCAGTAAACCTCTCACGACGCCCTGGCAAACTATAGAAACCATGGGGTTGTCCCAACGGTCTTTTCTGCTATCAGAAAAGTACAGATTCTTAGTGTGTCTCTTACTTAGCACGCTTCGTTGGATTGCCGGACGCTACTGAGATCCCATTTATTATACAAGATATTATAAAGTATTATTAATATCATTATGAATTATCTTTTACTAGCGGTTCACCCTCGCTTCGCTCAGATTCGCCTCTAGAAAAATAAAATCAATCCCACGGGAACCGTATATTTTTCCGGGATATAGCCTATGTGTTATTCCAGACTATAAATATCTCTGAGTCAAATATCATCCAGATCCGTTCTGGCGTGAAAGAGTAACAAACATCCATACTTACTCGCAAACTCTCACATTTATAATATTTATACAGATATACAGACCCTCACCCTACACAACACAAACAACAAAATCCCCTTACCCTAGTTACGGGGATTTTCATGAATTTTAATTTTTTTGCACGATTTATTTTAACTCTGATCCTTTTTCTAAAATAAAAGTAGTATAAATTACTCTTTATAACATCAGCTGTCCAGCCGTTTCGAAGATTAGCCGGAACAAACAAACAGACAGTATATATTTTCATATGCATTTAGTAAAAAGCTGTTATTTTGACATTACAGACACTTCAATTTTATTTATCTGTATACAAATAAAGCGAGCAGATTTTAATATAACTATCCACTCTTAGAGGTGGAGTTTGAAATGGATCTAGAAATATATAACAGAATCTATACCTAACATACCTAACCTTATTAACTTGATTCTTTTATAAATCAGCCCCAAATGACCATGCATGCATACAAAAACTAAATATTATAGGGTAAAATTATAATGTAGATAAAAATAAAAGTATCCATATATGAATGTATTTATTATAACATATTTATATTACATACAAAATGCTTAACTAACAACAGTCCATGTTACATATTATGATCAGCAAAATGGAAATAATCAACTTAATAATATAATGTATACATAAGTTATTGTTTACGATCTTCTTGAAATATTACAACTTGCTTCCTGTAAAATAAAAAAATATATGGTTAAGTGGAATATAATTATTTTTATAAAAATTGTCTGGTAAATTTTTTATTATATATATTACGCCTCAAAGACCGAAAACGCTCACTGACGAAAAAACAGCTCACAACTCGTTGTGGTCACTGGTAAACATCTATATCGCGAAATTCGTGTTATGGTTCTTATAAAAACGCTCTCGACGGGTTGTAGCAATCATAGAAAGACCACATACAGCAATTCGTATCATGGTTGTCATGTTATACGACCACAACGCTTTGTGGCAATGAAGAAAAACCATGACGCGTTCTGAGCAGTAGTGGGTGTAAACAAGTCACGACCGACAAAATGCAACAGTAATAAAGTTTTAATTCCTGTAAAATTTTAATTATTTTATGTAAATAACTCAGTTTCCGAAGCACATATTCCCAACTTAGTGTAAAGAAAAAACATGGAAGAAAAAAGAAGCCAAGTTACCAGTTCAGTTATTGTGCAGGACTTTGTTGAAGGCGCCGTATGCGGTCTCCAGGTCGAACACCAGCTGCCGCACCTGCGCCTCCGACAGCTCGTCCGACGCCGACATCTCCGATAGCTTATCTAACCATTCTTGGACCTGGAATGAATATTCAATAAGAAAATTACATTATTACAATTTAAAGATAAAATAAATACAAATATTTTATTGAGCAAAGCGTATTACTTAGTTCAAGAGTTAATTATGAATTATACATAATTAAGAATAAGAATCATTTTCAATTTTGACAAATAATAAATATAAATGAATAATAGTTTCAATTTTGAATAATAAATCCTATCACAATCAAATTTATACAAGAAAGGGTGTAAGTTTACCTTGAGTTTCCCTTCAAAGTCCTCTGGCAGCATGGCGAGGCGGTCCATCGTGTCCTTCAGGTCACTCAGCTCTGGCTGGATCATGTCCATCGCGCGCAGGTCTAGACGCAGTTTGTCCATCAGGGTTATGAATAACTGAAATTATTATAGCAAAAATATATAATAATTTTGTATGTGTGTTTAGTGTGGGGGTAAGTTACTTCCTCACTCTAAAGTGCTTTGACAGATTTGGATATTATAATTTTCCAAAAGGTGCCGCAGGTCTTTTGCCAAAGAAGACAACATTTTGACACTCAAGATAATCGACTTGAGTTGAGACTCTAACCCAGGATTTATTTTATTGTAGTTTATTTTAGTGTAGTTAGCATCAGATATAATAGTATATAGCAATTAATGAACTACTTAAGTGACTTAAGTATCATTGTATCATAATACACTATATCCTGTTTAGTGTTTATGAAAGAGAGTATAACTTCATCTTATAAGTTTTATGGATAGAAAAATATTAAACCTTTGTAGAATCAATTAAATTATATTTCAAATATTAAAATAGAATTATTTTCAAAAAATAACTTTGAATTGTAATTATTAGTTGATGGTAAGTCTGAAGAAATGTCTCATATTGTTTTCAAGATGTTAACAATTATTTTTGATGTGAAACACCTATTAACACATGTTGACAGTAAAACCAACTGATAGCATGACGCTGTCATGCACATCATGCCCTTTCACCACCCTCGACTCCCTTGTGTGTGTGCACACATATACTATACATGCTCCATTGTAAAACAGTCTATTTAAATACTTACATATTTTCTATTCTATTTATGTATATTTTTATACATATTCTGTGTATTATTATTATATTAAAATAATAAGAAAAATAAATTAGTTTTATTAATGAAACTCCATTTTTTCTTTATTTTACTCTTTATGCCAGTGTAGGAATTTATTAATTATAATTTCTAACAAATATAAGTACACTATTTCATAAACAAAATTCTAGTTTACTTATCTTTAGTATTCACACATTTATATAGAAACATTATCTAGGGAATTCCCATTTTTTTACTAAATATTACAAGTTCTCTTACCGAAACAATCTCAGCAATGTACTTATTGGTATTTCCTTTATCATCCTTGATAAGATTGGGTTTATTTTCCCTTATCCTTTCTAGAGCAGCAGGACAATCAAGCTGTATAATGAAACAAAATATTATAAGTTTTAAGTATTATATACATATATATCAATATGTATAAAATATAAAGTACAATCTTATAATTATTCTTCTAATCTTATAATTCTCCTATATATAAATTTATTTTGTGTATCTCTTATGATTTGGATCAAGTTTTGTCTTTAGTTTTAATCTTACTTTTTAAGTTTAGTGTTCTTTTTGAAAAGTGCAATTTTTATACCTTTACCACTGTTATGCAAATTTGTTTTACTTAATAGTTGTCACACAATCACATAGTAATGTGATTAGTAAATAATATACAAATATTATGTATTTTATACAAATACAAATTTCATAAAAAGGTTTTTTTTAAATCATATGAAAATGTATTACTATTAAAATTTGAATTCAGAAACTTACTCTGAACTTTGTAACAAATGATTCAATAGTAGGAAACTCATCGCCCTGGACTTGTTTAAATGCAACCTTATATTGAACTAGCAATCGGCTGCATGCTGCTGTATATTCTTGTGCACGAACACAATCTCTCATATAAGCTTTTTCAAGATGCTGAAGGGTGCTAATCACAGCATATAGTTCTGCCATATTATCATGCCTAAGGATAAAAATTAAAGCAACGATTAGAAATCTAAACTTTAAAAATAGAGGAAAATATATATTGAACCATTATTATAATAATTTATTTGGATTTAATTTAAAATAAATCATACATTACTTACTTTTCTCGTTCCCTAGTATTTCTATAAAGTTTAACTTCCTCATATAACTCTGGTCTTGTATCTATAAAACCAAAATAATTCAATAAAACAAAGACTTTATAAACGGGATAAATCAATATAATATTTATGATTCACGCATTACCTTGCATTATTACCAATATTTGTGAATATCACTGTTAATTATTAGTAAATAATATGAACAATAAAAAAAAACGTATTAAGCACTGCAATTATGTGAAGATATTAAAAATATTATTTTTCCAAAACAAAAATTCTACCCTTTCTTGACAGAATCAATTGACAATAATGTCAATTCATATTGTAATTTGTCAATGACATTGTTGCATAAATTTTTACTTGCCATACATTCTTAATTTTGTTTTAAAGAGCACCATACACTACGCGACTTATTTACTCATAAAAAAGTTAATTAAAATGTATATTGAACTTATATGTTTTAGTTATAATACTAGGAGCCCAATAACACACTTTTATTAATTTATATTTAAACAATTGTTACAAATTTAAAATATTTTTTGTTCTGACACAAAGTACAAGAATTACTAGTAGTAGTAGTAAAGAAGTAACAAGAATTTACTGTTTAAAAGTGTGTTTTCAAGGTAAAAAATATGGACATTTATCTAATATCTTGTATTATAAAAACAAATTCTTGGCGGCAATACATGTATGTAACGGTTATCAGTTCAAAAAAGATTTATACAATGACAATGAGGCATTACGTTTTTTTTCTTAAACATGTTTGAACCATGACGTAATCTTCCAATATGGCGGATGACGCGACCCCTTGCACCCGCGCGCGCCCCGCATCGTAGTTTCATCGGTTGGGCAACGTAACTGCTCGTCTCGAATGATTTCACCGAGCTATGAATGAAAAATATTTGTGAATTCGCTTCAAACTTGTAGAAACTTATCAATTGAGTGTTTGTGTATGTGAGTTTTAAAGGTGGATTCGTGGTGTCAGTGATAAATAATACCAGTTCTCCCTTTACTACATGAACTCATGTTTACGTGCTGAAACACGGCACAGTTAAGTTTTCGGTTGATATTGCCCTTTAATGGGATCTTGTTGATATACAGGTCAGTTACATTCTGTTTTTTTTTAATTATAATAATATGTATTTCATTTACAAGCCAGTAGTAAAAAATCCCGGTAGTAGCGGCTATAATGGTGTAATGCGTAGGTTTTTATAGTACGTTGATTTTACGTTTAAATCATCTTGTTTATTTTCCAATTGGAATGTTTCAAATTCGCGGTGAACGGGCATCGCTTAGGGCGCGGCGGTGTCCCACATTTCGTGTAGACGTAGTACAAGCGAGCTATGTATGGTGCTTTCATAAATTCGTTGCACACTTTACTACGCTAATAGCTATAACTTGAAGGAATGTGGCTTGTGATAACGATAAACAGTAAGTTTCTAATGGTGAAAATAATTTACTACATATTTCTCATTTCACTAGGCTTTGATTTACAAGTGTAAAGATATTATATATACATATTTTGAATAATTAATAATTAGTCTGTATTAAAAATTAAATAAATAAAAATTTCATAAATATATATTATGTGACATTTTGATAAGAAACCCCAGTAAAGTCGTCAAATATTAATATATTTGCTATATAAAATGTTATAAGTATACAAGTTGGGACAGTGCTTATACAATCTATTATTATAATGACTTGGAAATATGATTATACACATATAATTTAATTCTGTCAATAAAATTTATTAAATCTTTATTATCTTATTTCTTAAATAAAGCAACTCAGGATAAGTATCTGGCAGACATTTAAATCTGTCTTTAACAACCCGTGCTTATAAATCCAGTTGTTAGTGCAATTATAATTTATAACATACTAGCGAATCAATCTCTCTTTGCTTAAGTTCGTCCTAGGTACGTTTTAATGGTTAGTATAGAATTGATTGACTATATATTATTTTATATGATATACTATAGCCTTTACTCTATAGTCTTCATCAATAAACAGGCTATACAATGCAAAAAGAATTTTTTAAATCAGATTAGTAGTTCCTGAGATTAGCGCGTTTATACAAACAAACAAACTCTACCTCTTTATAATATTAATATTATATAATATACAAACTATTAATTAAAAAAACTATCTAGGTTATTGTAATTCTATTTGAACATGTTTTTATATTTAACTTTCTACACTAAAAGCAATAAACCTTGGCTCAAATTGAGTAATGTATATCTATTTAAAACATACATTTTCATTATCTAAATCTCTTGTACTACAATAATTCGTTAATTTTTGTATAACGAAGAAGAAAAACTTTATAATTTTTCAAAACACATGCTTAAAAATACTTTTTTATTTATACTCAAACGGATATGCATTAATACTCTCATCCACATTATATTCCTTTAAACAATTAGATGTTATGTTTGGTTCGGTTCAGTTTGTAGTGACCCTACCTGCTGTACCAGCGGTTGCGGGTTTGAGTCCCGCTGGGGCCATTTGTTTGTGTGATGTATATGCATGAATATTTATACTCCAGTCATGGGTGTTTATATTTATAATATGTATGTATTTAAAGTTTATATATGTGTAGTGTATCCACTATCTAGTATCCATAACACAAGCCTCGTAGCTTACCTTGGAACTAGATGGTTATGTGTCTTAAGTCCATACATATTATTTATTATCATCAATTCTTCTGGTTAAAAATTAAAATTACACCTTATTAATAATAATTTTGGATAAAAAAATAATAATGAATACAATACTTAGTGTACTAATAATATGTACGTACATATTTGTACAGTATTGTTTTAAAAGTACATACTTGAGGTATACCAATCATTGAAAAAAACATATGAAAGACGAATTACTTTACGAAGATTGCCGAAAAAATACAAACGGTTTGAGTACCTCTTCCTTTTCGAAATCGGTAAAAAAAAAGTGAAACCTATCTTTCTATAAGCTCATGTAATTGCATATGGTAACATTTTAACAAACATATTTTCTTAATATGATTGTAAAATGGTATGGCAAGTGAATGAATAAAACCAATGACCCGATAACGATCGATTTGATCACAAATGTCAATGTGACATCATCAGGAAGCCAACAGATGGAAGTCCAACGATTAGCTTTAGCGCAAATGATGTCATTAGACGCTCGTTCTTTAACATTTTTAGATGGCTTAATTATAATAAATAACAATGTATATAAGTATGTATGTAATTAACATCTTATTTATTACTATTTACAAGCTTTTCCCGCGATTCCGCTCGCGTAGTCTACTATGTATGTAAGTATAACTGTTTCGATCCTACAAGTCGTAGTGTAATGTAAGATTAAATAGCCTTAACCTTCCTCTAGATAATGAGACGTGTAAAATTTTAGTCTCTTCTGTGACCATGATTGGTGCCAGCATTCGAAATGCCCGGAACAGATATTGAGCTGTCAAATCCAAGAAAGATCTTTCAAATTCAACTGGAAGTTAAAGAGATTAGCGCGTTCAAACAAAAAAAAAGATCAGCTTTATTATCTTTATATATATAATTCTTCTGTGAGTGTGTATGTCACTGAACTTCTCTCAAACGACTGGACCGATTTTGATGAAATTTTTTGTGTGTGTTCAAGGGGATCTGGGAATGGTTTAGATTCACAATTTGAATAATAATTTTCATCAAAAAAATTATTAAAAAAAGTTTGAAATTTTCAAATTAAAGACGTGTAGACAGGACAACGTCTGTCGGGTCCGCTAGTACTAGTATAGATTTACGGTAGGTTTTTATTTTTCCATTTTATTTATATTAATAGCCAAGTGCGAGGTCGCACAGGTAAGTTTCATCGACGGAGTTTTAAGCTATTTCTATATAAAACAGGAATGCAAGCTTAGTAGTTTTTAAATAAACTACAATTTTTTTTCCAGGCGCTAACAGCGGATAGGCTTCTATATTATTCTCTGTAGGATAAGTCATTCTTAACAAAGGTACACTTGTAATATTCACTTTACAACAGTTTTTTAAGTAAATGCTGCAACCTAATAGATTTTTCTTCAAATTTTCAATTTATTTCGTTAAAACACCACATCATTCGACACACCTTATGCGTTTTTGTGTATTTCAGTGAGTGATTATCTCTTATCACGATTTATCCTTATCTGTTGTTTCATAATTTTCGTGTACCTACCCGTGTACCTTTGAAATAAATTGTTCCTTATATTTTAATTTTGTTAGCGAAAGTAAGAAATATTTACTCCATTCTTTGTTTTCTCGATGTCATTAAAGTATATCTCATTATTTTATAATTTATACTAATTATATCAATTAACAATTTAATAAGATTGTGGATCTTGTAATTGATTTTTTTCCCACCGTATGTAAGATGTTTCTATACTTTTATATCGGGATCTTGTTATATACCTGTGAAATATAATTACACATCAGACAGACAGAAAGGCGAATACAATTTTCTTTTGAAATAACAATTTTCACCTTGATAGGTTATATTGGAAAGCTATAAACTGCATTAAAATAGATTTTACAGAATATAAACTTAACCGTGTGTTTAATCATGGCTTTCAGTTGTGAAGCACATATTGTGTTGCCGCATTCAAACATACACGTACACTAGATAAATACAATTCAAGTTTATAATAATATTTTAGAACAATCAATATATATAATATAGTCAATACATAGTTATATGTATTCAGCCTTTTTTTATCGTCCCAATGCATGCTGGGTACGGACCTTCATATACAAGGGCGGGTTGGTGGTCTGTCTTCACATGTCATTCGAAAACTTGCTATGTTCTCTGCCATGTCTCTCACACATGCAGGTTTTCTCACGATGTTTTACTTCACCGTATAATCATGTTGGAAATGATTCACATTTAAAAATATCACAGATGCGAGACCCATGGAATCCGTTTCATACGGTTTCCCAAGCGAGCGCGTTACCACTGGGCTATCACTGTGTTATTCGTCAACTAAATGCTAGAAAGTGTCTCAATGTCACAATATTTCTATAAGAATTTCGCTCCCTACACCGAATACGAGTTTTACGGCTTACGCGTCGTTACACCAGAGGGGGGCACCCCTTCTGCTTCCTTGACAAGCATTGCTAATGTGTCTCTAGGGATTTAACTT